ATGAGTGAAACCTTGTTATGCATTAAAGGATCGCTCGCAATAAACGGCAATGGTGAAGTCAAACTAGCAAATAATGTGGGTGCTTTTCTTTTCGATTCGTGTACGTACAGCGAAAGCGCAAGGGAGATGGAAACAGTGCGGGATCCTGGTATCGTAAGCGCTGTACGTGCTATGACATGTTATACTCAAGAAGATTCCAGTCATATGGCAATGGCGGGGTGGAATTACCCTAAGGATCCAATTCTACACGCTGCCGATCATTCATTCAACATACAGATGCCTCTTAAGCATGTTTTCAACATTTTCAATGATTATCCTATGATTACGTGTGGTCGTCAAACAATAAGACTAGTTCGAGCTCGAAATGACAACGATTGCATCATTGTCAAAGAAAAAACTCCAGGTCATGTTACAACTGTTAAGATTAACATTACCAATATTGAGCTTAGAGTCAAGCACATATTTCCCAATGATGATATTAAATTGGAACTTATGAAATCCATTCAACAAGATCAACCTATAGTTATTCCTTTTAGAAAGTGGGAATTGCATGAATTACCAGCACTTACCAAAGGCGCTAGACGTGAAGTTTGGGCTGTAAAAACTAGCAATGCAGTGGAAAGACCTCGTTATGTCATTGTTTTCTTTCAAACCAATAAACGTGACAAAAGCGACGCCGATCCCACCTTATTTGACAATATCCACATACAAAGTATCAGATTATCTTTAAATGGAGAATATTGGCCGAACGAGAGAATGCAGTTGGATTTTAGCAAAACTGACTACAATGAGGCCTATTTCAATTATACCGAATTCTATCCTAGCTACATACATTCTCAACAAAAGCGACCTCTGCTCGATTTCTCAGGTTTCGCACAACACACATTGTTCGTCATCGATTGTTCGAAGCAAGAAGAAAGCATGAAAGCATCCACTGTTGACGTAAAACTCGATATTGAAGCGAATAATGGTTTTCCCGAAAATACCAAGGCTTATTGCATTATAATTCACGACTGTGTAATGGAGTACTTCCCTCTCTCTGAAATTGTAAAAAGTCTAAATTAGATGCATAAATTGCCAGTAGTACGCGAGCAGTCATCATGAGAGTAGCATTCGTAGACATTCAGGGATTCAATGTGGATGGATGGTTTGTTCCCAAAGAACTTACCATTGAAATAGGTTTTAAACGAAGTCATTACATCTTCTTGCCTCAGAAACCTTTTAATGCGCTCAGTAGTGAGGATAAGAAGACTGCATCATACGTGGAGAAAAAACTGCTTGGAATTCGATACTCTGATGGACACGTAGAATTGTCCAAAATCAATGAAATACTAGAATCCAAGTTGTTGTATGCAGCAGATTACATCTACGTTAGAGGAGAACAAAAAGCAGAATATTTGGATAAGAAACGTCACGTTTTTGGAGTTTTTCCCATTATTATTGATGTTTGCAAGTTTGATGGTACACCTCATGCTACTGGAAACGTTGGCCCTACTGCAAACCCATGTCATGCCTCTGGATTATTTTCATGCACCGAAAGAAATGTGGATCGTCTACGTCACTGGTTTGCCAATAACATAATGCCATTGTAATTTTATGTATAAATAAATATATTAGAAATTAAACGCTTTTTTATTTATCACATCTTTATTGATCGAGTCTTATATTACAAGAAGATTCAAATTTTCTCCTTACAATTTCGAAAATAATTTTTAAAATTAGAATAAATACAGATGCTAATATTACACAAGACATTGCAAAGACATTGTCTATTTCACTTTTCATATGCTCGCTGGTGTTGTTGCTAACGCCCATGGTATTGGTTGAATACGTCTCAATGGATATGAAGCTGGTGGCAGTTTTCTGCAGGCGTAAATCCAGGTGTCTTGCTGTTGCTGCTGCTGCTGTAGATTCAACTCTTTTGGTTTCCACGTTTTGTCCTCAATATGCAGGCTATCTAATTGTCTTTTAATTTGTTTTATATTCTCATATGATTTAATGTCTCTATTTAACTGATCAAGTTTACGTTGAAATTCCATAACCCTATGTATGTACTCGATGGAATTCATAGTACTACTGAATATGTCCTATGTTGAATGTCACGTTTTATGTCAAGCGATGTCTTGACTGACACATAACTGTTACGTCAAAACGTCTCACGTCACGTAATTCCTACATTTCACGTTCTGTGACAATGTCACATATATGTCACGTCCTGCGTCGAATGTCACGTTATTCACGCAACATTTTCACGTTCTGCGTCGAATGTCACGTCATTTCACGTTCTGCGTCAAATGTCACATAAATGTCATGTCCTGCGTCGAATGTCACATAAATGTCACGCCCTGCGTCGAATGTCACGTCAATTCACGTGTCATTGTACGTTCTATGTCAAATGTCACATAAATGTCACGTCCTGCGTCAAATGTCACGTCCTACGTCGAATGTCACATCATTTCACGTGACATTTCACGTCCTGCGTCGAATGTCACGTTCTGTGACAAATGTCACGTCCTGCGTCGAATGTCACGTGACATCCAACGCTTTGACACCTCATACGTCAAAATCCAACCAATAGCAACGAAGATACGTTTTAACGCCCATTTGGCAACGCCGCCATCTTTGTTTTTTGTCTCCCTGCCTTCTCCCCGTTCCAACGAGCCCTCGTACGTCACGATCGGACCAATAGAAACGAAGATACCCCATAATGACCTTTTGGCATGCTCCGATGCGCACGGCACATACTGCATTCAACCCTATTTTTCATCCCCTTTCCAACGAGCCCTCGTACGTCATCCTACGTTAAGCCGTTTGGAACTTACGACCGGGGGTTGCGATTTTAGGGGTTGCAATTTAGGGGTTGGTCTCAGATCTGTGTAGTCTATCTACTTTCGTGTCTTTTGAGAAGTCTGTCAAGCTACGTCTTTGGAGAATGGACACACTACAAACGGGCTGTTGAAGTCAGCATTATTTGCATTGTTGTCATTAGACTGCAGTAAAAGTGCCGGTGTTAAGTTTGATGTTGATAGATTTGTGGATAGTTGAAGGCTTGATGAGCAAGACGCCTTATTAGCATTCTCTTCTGATTCTGGATTTGGGCGATCTGTTACATAAGACGATAGATATTCGTGGTCGTCAAATATATTTTCATTAACAGGCAATATCCCTATTTTTTCAAATCCTTTGACAATGTTTTTCAGGGGCAAATACTTTTGCAAATGTCTTGCCTTCGAGTTCAGCTACATTATACAAGCTTATAGGACGTCCAGGATGGGTCATCATCCACTCATTAGCGATAATGTTGTAGTAGGTTTTGTATGATCCAAAAACAGTCCTGTTAAGAGGTTGAGTTCTGTGCGAGGAATGTGGCGGCAACGTTAATAGCACAATATAATCTTCTTTCGCCAAATCAATTACACTGCAATATGGGTCTCGTGATTATCAAGTATTAGTAGCACATTTTCTTGCTCTCTCGGCTTAACGTGGCCTATAAAATAATGCAAGTAGTGTAACAAAGCTTCCCGTTTGACCATCCTGATGGATTTGTGCCTCCAATTAAACCCGGTGATGCACCATATAACATGTGGTCCTTGAAAAACACGCGAGGGAATATTAACATGGGCGACACATAGTTACCGATACCATTAACCGCAGCAATCAAAGTTATATTGATCCCTCTTTCTCCGGATATCATACTACCTAGTTGCTTTACACCTTTTAAAGCTATTTTCTTAGGTGGGGCATGGACTGAAGAACTCCCGGTTTCATCTAAATTATAGATACTGGCAGGGGAAAACTTATAGCATGACGTTACTGTTTTAAGATTGTTGGAAAAAGCTTGGATATTTTCTTTGTTAAAACTGGTTGACCTTGTAGCCTCGGGTTTCCTTAACGACAGTGATGATGTCGATTCATGAAGTGTCTTAGCCATTCTTTGCTTGCAGTTTAATTTGAAGTCCAATTGTCTGGTGTTTTTATCTTGTTTTTACGTGCGTATTGAAATGCTAAGATTCTTGCATCTTTTTTTGTGAGTCCATAATGAAGCGACGCTGCCTATGTCAAGTTTTTCTCCAACTGTGACTCTATTTTAATTGGAAACACTTTTTTAACATTGTTTACATGAATTCGAATATAATTAGATAAGGTTGATCGACAAATATATTTTTTGGCAGCTTATCTAACCGGAATCTGATTTTTAAGGAAGTCTTCGACAGCTTTCTGCAAAGCACCTACATTCACTCTTGCTTCCACTTTTGCTTCATGACATTTTTTCTGTAAAGAAGTTTAGTGTCAGTTTACTTGCTATTAAAGTAAAAAAGCATTAAAGTTCAATTTTGTAGAATTTATTATGAGCGATAAAAATTGCTCTAATGCCGCGGTGCATATTAAAGCAAAGAGACCACTGAGCTTCCTCTGATTTAAAAATTATTTATGGCCTATGCATTTAAAACACAAGACAGTGCCGATTTTGCCTTACTTTAATATCTACTTTCAGTGAAATTACGGATAAATTAAAAAAAGTAAAATGTTTTGTCTTGTTGTACCTTTGGCCATTGCCAGTTGTAGCTCTGGCCAGGCCAAAGGTACAACAAGCGTAATGTTCCAAGGTACAGCAATGTTTACGACTACCAAAACACATTAATTTTTTAAGGTTATGTAAACTTTATGGATTGGTAAATACAAGTTTTAAATAGCAAACATAGCATATTTTTTACCTGGGAAAGTATAGATGAAACCAGCCACTTTGTAACACACTGACTCTTTATGTTCTCGCTAATTATTTACTTTTAACACGAAAAATCACAAGCCTGACTAAATTCCAAACTCTTTATATTTATAAAGCGAAACTATTGTACCGACCTCAAGTGGTCAATAGCAGAACATCAAAGCAAAAATTCTTTCCAACACGGAGAAAACAACCATTTGAACGACAGTGTCCAGAGGTACAAGCGCCCAAAGATACAACACTTTCCCCTACTTAAATGTTTTTAATAACTTACCAACTTTTGAATCATTAACATAACTCATTGTTATATAATGGGAACCACGAGTAACAGCATATTTGCCAAATTCCATTTCCTGAAGCGCTTCCTCAATACCTTTGTGATCATCTTCTAAAGTTCTTCTGTGAAGCTGAAAAAAAATTGAACAAATAACTACAAAAATTATTAACAGCACCAGAACTGACAGTACAGTCAATCAAGCATTTGGTTATTAATATTTTCCGATGGGATGGATTAACTTGAATTTAGAACTATGAAGCCCGAGAAACAAACGTTATATGAGTGGCTAAGAGGCATAGGTGCCTAACCCCAAAAATTTCTTTTACTGGATTAGGCTTAATAGGTGCTTATAATTTCTGTAAAAATCGTGTGCAGAATCAGCCTAAAGTTATTTTTGATTGGTATGGTTTCCTTATCTATAAACTGGTTTTCGCACTAACAAAATGTCATAGGAAGCTTGCGGCAAAACTGCCTAACCAACAAAAACATGGCGGATGTAATCATGAGCAGTGACGCTTCGGAGCCTTTCAGATCCGATTTCAGCGATATATATAGCGATTATAATCCCAGTTCTTCAAATATCGAGTCTTCAGGTAAGACAGTAACGATATTATTAGTATTTAAATATATGACAAGCAAGATAATCATTAAATGCTCATTTATAAACAAATGTGGCTTAGACTGTTTTGCCGCAAACTTATTTGTAATATATTTTTTATTGTTCTAGTTAAGAATAATGATTATTCGAGTGAAAAAAATTCAATAAATGGGTTGTCAAACACTAAGAATCAAGACAATGATGAACCAGATGGCAAATCGCACTAACATTCCAGAACGAGAGTAAGAAGTCTTAAAAATAATGCAAAGTATTAAGAAAGATAGCCAGAAAGAAAGGAGAAGAATATGCTTCGGAAGAACTAAAACGTAAAAATACTAAAGAACTCGTAGTTGGACCATGTTCGTGCAAAATGAAGTGTCATTTAAAAAATTTTATTGAATATCTTTAAAAATTACTATTCGCTTAACTTGTCAACAAAAAATGCTTTTGTTCAAGGTCAAATAAAAGTAGAAGACAAAAAGAAAACTTATTACCAGATGAAAATAGATGTGAACAAGAAGTATGTAAGAACTCTTTTAAAGACACAGTTTTTATTACAGATGGAAAAATTTCATTAGCTTTAGCACGAAAACAAGAACATGGGGCACCTCTTCAAGATGCAAGGGGCATACATCCACCTCATAATAATACTAATATTAAAGACAAGCAGTATTTATGTGGCGTCAAAAGTTGAATTGGAATTATACCAAATAAAAGGCGTGGCGTCAAAAGTTGAATTGGAATTATACCAAATAAAAGCAGAAGCAGTTAAAGAAAACACAAAGCTTAATATATTTAAAGCAAAAGAATCACAGCAAAAAATATCAGTTTTAGTCTTTGATCTTCAGAAAATGCTTCCTTGTCCTGAGTTAAGTACAGGTGTAGATTATTCTACGAGATAACTGTGGGCATATAATTTGGGCATCCATGATGAAGTGAGAGAAACAGGACACATGGATGTCTGGTCTAAAAATGTCGCATCCCGGGGAGCTCAAGAGATAGCTTCATGTTTAATAAACTATCTTGAGGCGTACCTATATAAAGATTGGTTTAATGTTAAGCAATTTCCATCAAAAGTGTGAATCGTCACTCAAAGTTATAGAACAAAGATTTTTTGTATCTGGACATAGTTTTGATACATGCGATCAAGATTTTGGGTTAATTGAAAAGGAGAGGAAACACCGTGATCAAATTTTTGATCCCGATGATTGAGTTTCCATAATTCAATCGGCCAAAAAAGAAATCCAAAATTCCAGGTCAAAGGAATGAACTCACTAGTGTTTTTTAGTAGTAAATCCCTTGAGAAGAAGATAACAAATAGAAAAGTTACTAACTAAAAGTTACTAGAAAAGTTAAAAACGATGCAAATAAAATTATGTAAAATATACAGCACATGACACGGATTTGTTTCATGAGGTTGATTTAAGCAAGAAAACCAAAGGCCGTTCATCATCTACTGTAATGCACAACCTAGATGTCCTGTATCCAAATGAGAGAGCAATAACAAAAGAAAAGAAAAAGGATTTATTGGACTTACTTACTTACTTACTTACTCCGTGGCGTTACAACCCTTCGTGGGTTTTAGCCGACTCGACAACATGCCTCCACTGTTTTCTGTCTTGAGCAACCTCCATCCAATTCTCCACGCCCATAGTGCTTAGGTCTCCTGCTATATTATCTCTCCACCGGAGACGAGGGCGTCCGCGTGGTCTCCGTCCAGTTGGGACTTCCTCCCACACCAGTTTTACTGTTCGTTCGTCAGAATGTCTTCTGAGGTGTCCTGCCCATTGGAGTCTTTTGGACTTTATTTCTTTTATGATGTTGGCGTCTGGGTAAAGTTCTTCAAGCTCTTTATTAGTTCTTATTCTATATTGTCCTGATGCTTCATCAAGCACCGGACCAAAGATCTTCCTTAGGATTTTTTTTTCCCAAACACGTAGTCTCCCTTCATTTGCCTTTGTTATTGTCCACGTTTCGCTTCCATACATCACAACGGGTCGTATGATTGTTTTATAGACCTGTATCTTCGTACGTCGTGTTAGTTGTTTTGATTTTATAAGGTTTTGGAGGTCAAAAATACATCTGTTGACAGCCTGAATCCTGTTGTTTATTTCTTGTGATCCGTTATTGTCTTCAGTTATTGTTGTTCCAAGATACTTGAATTCTCTAACGCGCTCAAAGTTAAAGTCATCGATGGTCATGTTCTGACCGATTCTGTCTCTGCTTTGGTTATTGCGGCTCATATACATATATTTCGTCTTGTTTTCGTTGATTTGGAGCCCCATCTTCTCTGCTTCCTTCTCAAAGCTTACGAAAGTCTCCTTCATCCTTAATCGCGTGTTTCCTATTAGATCTATATCGTCTGCAGATGCCAGTAGTAAGTTTGGTCCTTCTCGATGAAATACTGTATTCGGTTTTTCGATTCCTGCACTTCTGATTATGTGCTCCAGAGCTAAGTTGAAGAGTTGTGGTGAAAGTGCATCTCCCTGTTTTAGTCCATTGTTTATTTCAAATGTCTCCGAGTATTGTTGTCCAACTCTCACCTTACATCGTAACCGTTCCATACACATCCGTATCAACCAGACTAGTTTTTTTGGAAAGCCAAGTTCCTGCATCGCTGTCCACAGTCTGTCCCTACATACTCTATCAAATGCTTGTTTAAAATCTATGAACATCTGATGAAGCTCACGATCAAACTCCCAGAATTTTTCCATTATCTGTTTTATTGTGAATATCTGGTCAATTGTAGAGCGACCCGGTCTAAATCCGCATTGATAATCTCCCCAACAATTTCTTCTGTGTATGTTTTGGTTCTTTCTAGCAGGATGTTTGCAAGGATTTTGTAGGTGGTGTTTAGGAGTGTTATTCCACTGTAGTTAATACATTGCTTTTTATTTCCTTTTTTGTGTATTGGTACAATAACCCCTTCTTTCCATTCATATGGCATTGTGTTTTCTCGCCAAATGTCTTGAATTATCTTGTATATAGAACTGTACAACGCTTCTCCTCCATGTTTTAAGCACTCTGCGGGTATACCATCGTTACCTGGTGTCTTATTATTTTTGAGTTATTTAATTGCCTGTATTACTTCTTCGTATGTCGGGTATTGGTCTTCTATTTCAGCTGTATGTACCTCTATGTTTGATGTACTTCTGCTAGATTGGTCATTCAATAGTTGATAGAAGTATTCCTTCCAGGTTTTTAAGATTTCCTTGTCATCAGTGATAAGCTGTCCACTGTCGTTTTGAAGAAAGTTTCCTGTTCTTGCTTGGTACACGGTCTTGATATCTGAAACTCATTTAAAGAACTGCCTCGCTTGTTTGTTATTTCTTTTTTCTTCTATATCTCTGATTATTTGTTCCTGATACTCTCTCTTCTTCCTTTTCATTAGTTTTCTTGTCTCTGTTCTTCTTTGTCTATACATTTCATTGTTGTTGTGCGAGGGGTTTTGTAGCATGTTCCTTCTAGCCATATTTCTTGCTAATATGGAGTTCAGGCAATCATCATCGAACCATTTTTTGTTGTTTTCTTTTTGTGTCCTAGTATTTCATCTGATACGCTTGTCAGAGCTACTTTGATATTTTTCCAAGCTGAGTCTATGTTGTTATAGTCTAATGTCTGTGCTAGAGCGATTTTTATAGCCTTTTGAAATTTCTGTTCTGTCTCCTTATTACGTAGAACTTCGGTATTCCATAATTGTGTTGGTGTATTCTTGTGTGTTTTTTTGGACGCTATTCTTGTCCTTATCTTCGCTTTTACAAGAAAATGATCCGTGTCTCCATCAGCTCCTCTTAGGCTTCTTACGTCTAGACAGTTACTACCCCTCTTGGCATCTACTAGAACATCTTCTTCTTTCAGTGCCTATTCGTTCCGAATATTGGCAATCATTCTGGCTATAATTATTTTATTGACTGATGCTTTAAATAGATTCGTTGTTGTTGTGGAGAACCATTTCCTCATGTTCTTCAACCATGATATTCTCCTTCTCCCAATTCCTCGCTTTCCGAATACTTTACCCTGTAGGATTACCTTCAGTAATCTGTATTTAGTGCTGTTTCTGATTATATGTCCGAGGTATTCCAACTTTCTCCTTTTAATGGTATACATCACCTCTCTTTCTTTGTTTGATCTACTAGAACATGATCAATCTGATTTCTTGTGACGCCGTCGTTGGAGACCCATGTTTGTTTGTGTATATTCTTGTGTTCAAACATTGTCGATTTTATTAGTAGATTGTGGGATGCTGCAAAGTCTATTAGCCTTGTTCCATTATCGTTGCTAACATCGTGAAGACTATAATTACCTATTGTTGGTTTGTACGCTGCTTCCTTTATTGGACTTACCTAAGTTTATTCCGCCTCAGTTCAACAGCTTTTATTCTGGATTGAAAGATAGTTTTGATCCATTATAGAAGGGCTTAGAAGAAGCAACTAATACATAAAAATTAGAAATACGCAGTAGAATAAGTTTTTAGCTAATAAGTTAGAAATTTGTTTTTTATTTATATTAATTTTTGTTTTGGACAATTTACTTGTTTTAGTTTTGTTTGCGGCAAATGTGCCTTAACATAGCTTAACACACACAAATTTTGTTAATTTTTTTGTGATGTACAATTTTCTGTTTAATTTTTAACTTTATTGGAACTTACCATCAACTCCAGATATCCTACTTTTACATTAGCTCCACCCTGTGTCCGATCTGTTAAAATAGACCACTTAACATTATTCATATAATCTTTAAGTGCTATAAATGATGTAACCGGATAATAGTTGGAACTGAATGCTTCCTTAGTCAAGTCAGTATACGAAATATTAATATTCTTTCTTTCAAGCATTTGTCTTCCATTAGAATCCGTATAAAAGTAATAGTTCTTAATACCATCCAAGGAATATTGCGCAATAATTTCTTTTCCGACATTATTTTTAATATCTCTAAAATAAAAATAAGTTTAAAAGACAATACAAATCATAATAGTAGGCTTATTTAAAGCAATAAAACACTTAAAACTTTGTTTTCAAACTTCCACAAAATTTATTTTAAATATTATCACTACAGCTGTTTCGGCTGATTGCCTTTCTCAAGTGATCTATTTTGGCTTGGGTTTACAAATTTATAGTCTCTAATGAAATAGGTTGAGGAGGGGAGAACTGTTTGTCTCAAGTTGGTCATTCAGAATTATATCTGTGTTTTTTAATTTGTTGATTTCCATAGATTCTAACAAAGATAGCTTAAGGCCTTTATTTTGAATGTGAAGAATTTTAAATTTGTCATTAAAAGAATGATTATGATCTAGAAGGTGAAGTGCGTATGTCGAATCTGTTTTTCTATTCTTGAAAGCCCTTTTATGTTCTGCTATTCGTTTATCAAAGTTTCTACCAGTTTGACCGATGTAAGTTTTTGGGCAGTCGCCACATTCAAGTTTGTACACACCACTATTTAAGTGTTTTTTATTTTGGCTCTTGTTATTTTTAATATATTTGCCTAGGTTGTTATTTGTTCGGAAAGCTGGTGTTATTCCTTTCTTTTTTATGTGTTTGGCAATTTTGTTGTTATTTTGCCTGTATATGTAATCAATGTAATCGAGCAGAAGGTACTGAGTTTTTTCTCTGGTGGTGGAAATACTAATTTTAGGGCTTTCTTGTGTAGTTTTTGATTTAACATTTTATTACCTAATTGTTTGTTCGTTGTATCCGTTGTTTACTGCTATCTGCTTAATTATATTTAATTCTGTGAAACATACCAGTACGTCGTCTACGTATCTCCACCAATATAAAAACTGTTTGACAGGAACTAACAGGCAACTGGACCAATTTTTATCATATATTAATTCACTTCATAGTCATATTGAATTTACAATAGAAACAGAACAAAATCAATTCATAAATTTTTTAGATTTAAAAATTAGCAGACTTCAAAACAAACATGACTTCTCCATATTCATAAACCTACCCATACTGACACGACTATACACAATTCGTCATCCCATCCAACACAACATAAACTGGCAGCTTATCATAGTATGTTACATAGATTAACAGAAATTCCGATGTCAAAATACAACTTTGAGACAGAATTAAATATAATTAAGCAGATAGCAGTAAACAACCGATACAACGAACAAACAATTAATAAAATGTTAAATCAAAAACTACACAAGAAAGCCTTGAAATTAGTATTTCCACCACCAGAGAAAAAACTCAGTACCTTCTGCTCGATTACATATACAGGCAAAATAGCAACAAATATTGCCAAACACATAAAAAAGAAAGGAATAACACCAGCTTTCCGAACAAATAACAACCTAGGCAAATATATTAAAAATAACAAGAGCCAAAATAAAAAACACTTAAATAGTGGTGTGTACAAACTTTAATGTGGCGACTGCCCAAAAACTTACATCGGTCAAACTGGTAGAAACTTTCATAAACGACTAGCAGAACATAAAAGGGCTTTCAAGAATAGAAAAACAGATTCGACATACGCACTTCACCTTCTAGATCATAATCATTCTTTTAATGACAAATTTAAAATTCTTCACATTCAAAATAAAGGCCTTAAGCTATCTTTGTTAGAATCTATGGAAATCAACAAATTAAAAAACACAGATATAATTCTGAATGACCAACTTGAGACAAAACAGTTCTCCCCTCCTCAACCTATTTCATTAGAGACTATAAATTTATAAACCCAAGCCAAAATAGATCACTTGAGAGAAGCAATCAGCCGAAACAGCTGTAGTGATAATATTTAAAATAAATTTTGTGGAAGTTTGAAAACAAAGTTTTCAGTGTTTTATTGTTACATAAAATGAATTTCCATCAAGTAACGGTCGAATCCATTAATTATTTAAAGCATTTTTACAAATTAAATTTCTTTATAAAATGAGGCTGGACTTTCACTACAAAAGCCGTATCCAGAAAGACCTATTTCCAGAAGTATATATTTTGAATATGTCTCCAAATAGCTTAAACAGTAGTGTTAGAACTTTAGTAAATTATGTTATTATGACCCTAAAAATTATGTCGGAGACACTTAGGGTCTTCCAAAAAAGACGTTGCCAAAATGACTATTACCGGTGATAATTTGGCAGATTTTAATCTAACACAAAACAGACTGGTTTGTAAAATGATCAAAGTTTTAATATTCATCATTTCGATTCTAATTCATTTTTGTAACATTTAATATATCGCACTAATAATACAATAGTGTCGTAACTCAAAAAATATGATTTTTCAGAATCAATGAAAAACTTATTAATCATTTCCTATTGCAGGTAAAAATAATAATTAATTCATAATATGTTTTTAATTAATATTAAAGGAAGGTTCTTTGTACTCTTAGTTAAATAAAAATACTGACAGTGAAGTTATTTAAAAATTTTGAGTTAAAACTGTATTGCTTGCTCTAAGCAAAATGTTCGAAATGAAATATTATTTTTAGTTATGATATTATTTATGAAATATTTTCTGTTACTTCAATTTGATTTACCATTTTTTTCTGCGGTTTACGTTAGTTTTTGGACTTACAACAATTTTAGGAACTGATTTTTTGTATTTGTTAACATTGAATCTAAAGAGATTGTATTACACGTTAACAATTACCGAGAATTGTTGTTTTTGATACAATAAATAAATCAAGACTGTTTTAATTACGTTTTTATTATAATCAAATAAATTCATATACAGATAAGAAAATACAGTATTCTTAAACATTTTGTACTTAATCTATATATTTACGTTGTTTGCCATGTTTTTCGCGTAATTCATCTTGTATTAAACCACACTCTGTTTTTTTTTCGAATGGGTCGTTTATAGCAAGATTATTTTTAAAAAATGTTTTGCAAACTCTAAAGTGATCAATGTTTATTTTAAAATTAAATCCAGTGTTTAATTTGCGAAAACTTTGTGTTAAAGAATATCTGTATCTGAATTCTCTTTGTTTTTGTAAATCTCCCAAACTCCAATACTTAATAAAAATATCTTGTCTTAATGTCTCGTTTATTCGTAAACGACAGCTTAACCTGCATTTTTCGCCACAAGTCAGACCCATTTTTCTTGCAGGTACTTGTTTTTTTTACAGATTCATGCGCTTTTCACTCATACGATTCATTACCGCAGGTTTTAATATTATGTATCCTCTTTTTGTCCTTGGTATTATTGTTTTGCTCTTCCGAAAAAACAGTTGATTCAACAAGAATGTATAACTCGAAAAATAGCTGTGGAAATTGCATACCTGATTCAGCAATAATGTATGTAGAAACTCGAAATAATGATCAAAGAAACACGTGGGTTCTTGATCACTGTTGGTCGCAACTAAAGATGATACCGTATTGTGAGGGGGTAACGACAGTCGGTTAGTCATGAATAACGTCTTACAGTGGCTTCCCACGGTCGGCGATTCTACAGATCATCGCGGACAGCCGATCAGCACGGACGAGAACGCACCGCAGATAGAGCTCTTCCCACGGTCCGTGACAGTCTGTGTAGGTCCGTGACAGTATTGTTTGATTATATCATAAAAAGGCCACTCAGGCTTGTAAACGTTAAATTCGGCATTAAATTATTTCTCTTATTTTTTAATTCTTTAATCGAAATAGTACTATTCTTCAATTTATTTTTTATTTGGTTCCATACATCGTATATATCGGTTCCGCTTCTTATGCTCTGGTGCCGTAGAATTCCATAAATTTGTTTCATTTTGATACAAATTTAAAAAATCAAAAATAACTTCGTTTGTCCATTCCATTTTTTAGCAAAAAACTGCAAAACAACTTTGACAACACTACAGACAACTACTCGTGTCAGCGAATGAAAAACTTCTGACTTGCACTCGTCGTCTGTTAAAACCGCACCTTTGATGTTACCGACTCTAGATGGATAGGACGGACCAGCACAGACGTGCCTGCGCTACTACGGACGAGACCCTTCCCACGGTACGTGGTGCGTGCTGGTCCGCTTACGTCCGTAATATCGCGGACCGTGGGAAGCCACTATTATGCCGCCATCTCTTATTAATTTATTGCACTATTAAAAACACAGTTTTATTGACTTATAGAGAATTCAATTTTACATGTGGATATAATGTTATGTCATTTTGGAAACATTTTGTGTGGCGACACTATTATATTATTAGTGCGATATAGTAAATAATAATAATACGCCTTTTTCCAAAGTACTAATATATTAAAATACCGTGAGTTAACTTTAATTCAAGTGATCAGGAGTTGATGTAGATTAAATCTTACTGTGCTTGATAATAGCTAAAATAGCTTTAAGTGTGGTCTTTGAATAAACCTAATACAACCCAAAAGGGTTGTATTCTTTTGTGAACGTCATTTATAAAAGCAATCGTTTTCTGTAATTAAAAACGGAGAAAACGGTTCGGAATGTAAAACCACATCGAGCTTCAAGAAGAACTTGCATTACTAAGTCAGGCAGGACAAATTATAGCTTCAACATCATATTACGTCGATTATTTTTGATGAATGTATATCTCTGTTGGTTATAACATAATCTATTATTGATTTTTGTCAACAGGTATTAATAAATGTATATTTGTGTTGGTCTTTGTGGTCAAAAAATGTGTTGTTTATTCTTAGTTCGTTATTCGTGCAGAAGTTGATCATCAGTTGTCCATTTTCGTTTTTAACATGCTCGTTATGTTTTTGTTTAATGCCCGGTATGAATTGATTGCCTATTCAAGCTTTAAAATTTCCCAATATCTTTCTTCTGACTTGATCTACTACTTGTTGTAATTTGTCATAAACCGCTCCCCTTGTTGTTTGAGGCTTCTTATTTTCTGGGCCATGTACTTTATCAATGTTCGTTCAGGTCTTCCTTCTCAATTCTTATCTTTGCTGTTACTATTCTTTCTGATATGTATTGACACTCTTTGATCTGATTTTGTTGCCTTTGGCCCTGTTTTTTGTTGCTACTTCACTGTAGATTAGTATGTATTCACCTTATTTTGATTGACCTTCTCCTTTCTTTTTTGTTTCCTGTAGATCACAAATGTCTATTTCTTGCTCTTTCAGTACTTGGGTTATTTCTTGGTCCCTTGAGTTGAGTGATCTGATATTCCAAGTAGTAATTCTCATCTGGGTTTTGGATGTTTTCGCTTGTACTTATTTCTTGCCTTAGTCGTCTTCATAGTATCAAGGCGGTTCTAAGGCTGTACATTGTTTCTTTGAGCAGTTTTTGTTTTTACGATTGGTAGGTTGCTAACCTTGCCTATTACCCTCCACATTTTATCCCGCAATCACTCCAGGCAGTGTAACTAAGATTTTGTTTACAATTAATGTAACATACTTCACTTGTCATTAAATTTAATTTAAACACTTAAAAATATTTCGTAAAGATTTTTTAAATAGATACTCTATTTTTATACGAGCAACAGCCACATCCAATTATGGTATATATAAAATCTCCTTAATATTCCGATTATCGACTAGTATTGATTTTAGATTCTTTTTGTGTAATAATGATTGTTGGTTTTTCTCTTATAGAAATAACGCAGTTACGTCCAGGACATATGCCTATGTTTTTCCTAAAGGAAAACCCCTGATCCTAAGTTTCCCTGATGTTAGTTTTTTGTATTTTTACCTACTAGGTTACTTAGATTTTGGGAACTTTGAGGTTGAGGTTTCTCTCTGTGGATCTATTTTATGGTTATTTGCGTACCGAGGATGTTCCTTGGGATCTGATTTGGGTTGGATTTTGAACTAGATATTTTGTATGGTTTGAACAAACTGTTTCATGCCTTAAGAACTTTTCATGTGGTTGACTGCGACGATACGTGTCATCAAATGGTAATATCATCAGGTTTAATTAAGTTTAAGGGTTCTCTTTAAATAAATTTTTATTGACCGGAGAATCGAGGTTGTGTAGAACTTCTATTATTATCCTAACAATTACGGGCAAAGTTTGTTTTTAACGTAACAATTTTACAGAAAAAAGAATAGTAGTCCAGTAACATATCCCAGAAATAGAGATAATAAAACCAGATACGTGTATGAGGAATGTGAAGTTTTTTTTGTGTTAAGAACACTGTGTGACATACAAGAAAATGGCTCCAACTGGCTAAGAACTGATCGCTTAATAATTAATTAAAATTGTAGTATATTTGCAATTCATTTTTTGGTGTATATTGAAATCTTCTCGTATATGTGGTATATTGAGGTCTCCTCATATATGTGTGAAAAATCGTAGAATATTTTTAGTGTATGTTTGTTCCTATCGAGCGTATAAAAACTCAAATATGCTTTCAATTCTTTCTTAGATCGGCCAAGTTAATATAAACCATTTTATAGTTTGTTTATATTTTACATCTGTTAGTTCCCGAAGTACTGCGTTTTCAGATAAATAATTTGCGTCATAGAAATAGGATATCTACCTTGTTTCCTTGTGTTTTGTTATTTCAGCGTTTGTTTGTTTTCAAGTTATATGAACGAATTTTTAAGTTCGTCATTCTTACTTGGGTCGCTGTAGGTGCAAGTGTAGATTAATTCTTCCTTGGTTCGCTGTGTGGATCGCAAGTATGGATCCGCAAATTCACCGTCGAATTTGTGTTTTTCTGTTTTTGGCCCCTTCTGTGAAAGTATGTAGCTGTGGAAGATGATTTGTGCAGTACACTGATGAAATTTTGAAGCAGTGTATTATAGGATATCCAACCAACTTTGTTGCCGTTTTCCTGTTTGATCCAGCCCATCCACGTCAGATCATTGTTCCAGATTATGGAAATGGTTTTCTTTTGTTCCAGTAAGTTCCTGTTTAGTTTTCAGAAGTTTAAGTGCAAAATTACTAGTGAAAGATCAAGGTAACATTTAATGTTTTAAAGTTTAAAGTAAAGACAGACATATTTTTGCTAAAGTAATAATTGCTTTTATTGTTTTAAAAGATATTTTTTTATTTGTAATAATTTTTATATTTGCCATAGTTTATAGTCAGTAACATTAGTAAGTTTTTGTAGCATCTCCTGAATTTATAAATTAGTAGAACGCATGTAAGTTTTTTGTATTTTGCGACTATCGTGGTAATATTTTTGTGATTTTTTTTGAGCATTCTTGTGTTCTCTCTGTTTTGTTACTGTTTGTGGTAAAACACTAATAAATTTAAAAATTTTTTTTCTTAAAATTTTGTTTATTTTTTTTAACTAACCCTTTTTTGAGTTATATTTGAAAAAGATATGTTTTTTATGTTTTGATTTTTTACAACTAGTTGTTATACTAGTTATGATTAGGCACCTCAAAGTGGCGCTCTCTATGAATTACTAGAGGTATTTCCTGTTTATTTTTATTTTGTTTGTTCCAAGAGATTAATGACTCCTTTATTTCATTTTTTGTAGTTGCCCCAATCCAACCCCCTTATCTTTTACTTATCCAGGACCCCAGCTCTACTAACAAACCCTGAGTGCCGTTCGCACAAGTAGCGATTATTTTGTTTGCCTTATTTCCACTCCCTTAGTTTCAGTCCCCAACTACTGTTGGGGACTACTCCTATAGCTATTGGTAGGCCTATAGGTAGAAATCTACTCCCTAGTTTTCTATCCCTTGTATTATTACCCCATGTGATAGGCAAAATATATTCGTTACAAAATTTGATTTTGTTTTTTTTTTCTTTGGTAAGCTAAATACTCCTTCTATTGTAGTTTCTTTCTCCGGTCATAATACACATTTTTTTATGAAAAAAAAATCATTGTTATTTCATATAATTGGCTATAGATTCAATAGTTAATAAAAGTCAACAAATAACCATAACCTAAACCTAAACAAAAACTATTTAATTAGAATACTTACACAGTGTTGTTATCTAAGGGTCCTATCATCCAATCGAATTCAACATAATCTATACTATCTTCATTGGCTTTTTCACTGTGAAGTCTTATGGTTTGCGTCACGTATTTTCCGACACGTTGTATAATTTCTTGAACCACTTTGCCTTCGATATAGAGGACTTCATAATACTTCTTATCTAAAACATTTAGCGGTGGGTTACCAGCTACTTGTCTGAAGACGTAAGCTCCAGAACTGATTCCATCTGCAGAACCGTTGTTACTTCGGTAAAACAAGAATTCTTGTGTTAGTTTTTCTGTACGATTGTTAATCGTTACGTTGTGAGTGCGTGTTATGGGATCAAAACGTAGAGTAGAACCCTTAAACAAAAATTTTTTATCTAAAATTCATTGACACTACTATTTTATGGATAATATTTATATAGGAAACTATTACCGATCTGGCAACACCCGAATATATTACGGCCCACATAGTTATTGGCATATAGAATTACAGTCATTCGTCATTTATAATAATTCCTAATTTTCTTTTTTTGTTTGTGCAGGTAAGGCACACGAAGCTATGTATGTTTTCAATTTCTTGTTGTTTCTTTGCACGAGTACCAATATGGTAGCCTCTAACACAAAATAGACATTTTATTCCAACTTTTGATTTAGATATATTATAGGAACAAAATTAACACAATCTTGTATACAAATGGTTATTTACAGGTGGGTTTTCCTTTGGGTGGGATATCCTTTGTTTGGCAGTGGTTTTCTAGTCAGTAAAAAAGGAAAGCAATTAGTCCTTAACTTTAAACCCATAAACAACAGAATATGTTATCTACGTCTTAAAGGAAAATTCTTTAATTATAGCTTACTTAGTGTACACGCACCTACGGAAGAAAAGGAGGATAATGAAAAAGATGAATTCTATGACACCTTAGACAAAGAATATGATCGATGTCCACGTCATGACGTGAAAATCATTGCTGGGGACCTTAATGCAAAAATTGGCAAAGAGCAATTTTTGCAGCCAACTATAGGACGTGAGAGCTTACATGAAGAGTCAAATGATAACGGGTTGAGACTAATAAACTTTGCAAGCACTAAAAACATGATAGTAGGAGGAACAAGATTTTCCCATAAAATGATACACAAAGGAACATGGAAATCCCCTGATAACGAAACCATTAACCAAATAGATCACATCCTGATAGATGCAAGGCACTCTTCCGATCTCATAGACGTCAGAAGCTACCGAGGCCCAAACATTGACAGTGACCACTTTCTTGTAATGGCAAAAATCAGAGGAAGAATATCAAACCTAAAGAAAGATAAACATACGAAACAAGACAGAATTAATGTTGATAATCTGCGCATTGAAACCGTTGCGAGAGAGTATAGGAGACAAATGGACGAGGAAATGGAGAGCCTGGAGGTGGGGGAAAATGTAGAGGAACTGTAGACAAAATGTAAAAACATAATAACTGAGAAAGCAACAAAAATATTGGGGCAAACCAAACCAGTTAAAGAAAACGAATGGTTTGACAAGGAGTGCCAAGAAGCAACAGATAACAAAAACAGGGCATACCTAAAGACAAATCAAGCTGGATGCACAAGAAGAGCAAAGGAAGAATACCGGACACTAAGAAGAGAAGAAAAACGATTACATAGAAGAAAAAAAAGACAATTTGAGCAAAAGCAATTGGAAAGCACAGACTGGCTAAGAAATCAAAATGAAACTCGAAAGTTCTACAGAAATCTAAACAAAATGCGCAAAGAGTTTAAGCCAAGAATAAGGAGCTGTAAGGATGTAGAAGGAAACATCATAAATGATACGGCCTCAATCCTAAACAGATGGGTTGAATTTTTGGATGCAAAATTTAATGGCCATCATATCGAAAAAGCAGACAACACCCTAGCAAATCGAAATGATTGGAATCCTTTCAACCCAAACGAAAGACCACCTACCATCGAAAACGTTGCCAAAGCCATTAAAAAGCTTAAAAATAATAAATGACCAGGAGTTGATCAAATTTGCAGTGAGCTCTACAAGAATGGTGGCGATGCCCTACTACAGACACTGCATAAGCTTTTACTTCTTGTTTGACATAATGAGACCATGCCTTGTGAATGGTCTCAAGGCGTGATATGGCCGTTACATAAAAAAGGTGACCAGCTTCAGTGTGACAACTATAGAGGTATAACCCTGTTAACAACTGCTTACAAAATACTACGAAAGGTTGCAAGTTTACACAGTGGGCATAGTTGGTAAATATCAAGTTGGATTCACTCCAGAAAAATCAACAATTGACCAGATTCATTCAATAAGACAGATTCTCGAGAAAACATTAGAATTCAATATTGAAACCCATCACCTATTCGTCGACTTTAAGGCCGCATACGACAGTGTCAAGAGAACAGTGCTATACCAATCAATGCATGAGTTTGGTATACCAGAGAAACTTATTCGACTAACGAGAATGACAATGTCTAACTTAGAAGCCACTGTTAGAATACAGGGAGAGAGTTCTAGATCCTTTGAGATAAAGGATGGACTCAGAGAAGGAGATGCTCTGGCTTGCCTCCTATTTAATATTGCCTTAGAAAAGGCAGTCCGAGATACACGAATTACTATTACGGTACTATTTACAATAAATCGATACAAGTCTTAGCATATGCTGATGACATTGACATAGTAGGGCGTAGCAAGCGAGATGTTGAGCAATATCTCCTAGAATTGGAAACAGCGGCGAAACAGGTCGGTCTAATCATCAACGAAGACAAAACCAAGTACATGTTGGTTACAAAGGATCCGATAGCAAATGACGAACGAGAAACAGTCTTTGGAAGTCATACCTTTGGACGTGTTGACAACTTCACATACCTTGGGTCGCTATTGACTGCTACCAATAAGACAAGCGAAGAAATCAAAAGACGAATAAATCTTACAAATAGGGCATAATATGGACTCCAAAAGCATTTCCACTCAAGAAACATTCAAAGAAGAACTAAAATTATTATATACAAAACATTGCTGAGGCCGGTCCTCACATATGGAGCAGAAACATGGACACTAACGCAGAAAGATGAAAGACTTTTGGGAATATTTGAGCGTAAAATACTCCGCAAAATATTTGGAGCTGTAAACGACCAAGGGCAGTGACGCAGAATATATAATTTTGAATTGTATCAGCTCTTCGATGAGCCAGATGTCATAACGTTCATTAAAGCACAGCGACTTAGATAGGCTGGACACATAATACGAATGTCAGAAAATACAATTGCTAAAAAGCTAACCACAGGAACACCTGTAGGAAAAAGAAGTAAAGGCCGACCGCGAATTAGGTGGTTAGATGGAGTAGAAACCGACTTACGAATATTAAAAATCAGAAAATGGCAACATGTTGCCAAAAACCGAACAGAATGGCGACGAATCTTAGAGCAGGCCAAGATCCACAGAGGATTGTCGAGCCAAAGAGGATGATGATGGGATATCCTTTAGTTTCAAAAAGTAACTTTCCTTTAGCCGACTCACCAGCACATTTTTCTTTGCTGGTTTTCAAATTTGTACATTTGTTTTGGGATGCATTCTTAAAACTTGTTAAATTCATATTGTTACAGACATAAAAAATATATTATCATTTGTGGGCAGACTAACGTTTTCCTCTACAGAATCAGGAAATTGTATCCGTGACAATTCTTGTTTTTCTTTAGGTTAAATTTTGGTGTATTTACTCGAACTCCATTTTCAAAGTAGTGCTTTTCAAAATATTTGTATCTGAAATATCACCTGTATCTACTGTAACATTTTCTTTTCTGTTCATCAATGTCAACAGTTTAACATTTTTTGCTCCCGGAATTGACTCTTGTGGCAATTTTTTTGAGTACTTTCATCTTGGTTTCCCTATTTTTTTGACCTATATTGTTTGCTTTTGCGTCAATTCGCTTTTGTTTTCGTTTTAATTTTATTTTTTCTTTTGCTGCTTTTTCTTCAATTTTACGCCTCTATTCATTTTGAAGAAGTGAGCACGTAAGGCAACCTTTTTGTTTACCTTTTTTTCTGGGGTTTTGGCAAAAAAAATAATTTTTCGAATAAGATATCATTTCTTTAAATAATGAGAATAGAATCTATACTGAAACCAAATGGCAAAAGTGAGGATTGATCAAGACCAATATATGGATGAATTTGAAATCCGGAAAGGTGTCCGCCAAGGCTGCATACTCTCTCCGATGCTTTTTAATTTATATGTTGAAAATATATTTGCGGAAGCATTAGAAGATACGGAATTAGGCATTAAGGTGAACGGCATACCAATTAGCAACCTACGCTATGCGGACGACACAGTGATTATAACTGATAATTTGGAAGATCAGCAGTTATTACTTGATAGGGTGAATAGCATAGGTAAAAAATATGGCCTCAAAATCAACATTTTGAAAACGAAATATATGGTCATTAGCAGAAACTCTCCAGAAAACCCGATAATATGCATAGGTGACAATCGTATAAATCGCGTGAAAACTTTTAAATACCTTGGCACCACAATCAATGACCAATCGGATCCACAACACGAGATAAAAACCCGAATACAAATGGCAAGACAAGCTTTTGTGAAATTCAGACCGCTCCTATGTAATCAACACCTAAACTTCGAAATACGCTACAGAATGGTCAAGTGCTATATATGGTCCATCTTGCTTTATGGCATGGAAACGTGGACTTTAAAAAAACATCTATCAACAAACTTGAAGCATTTGATATGTGGTCATTGAGAAGAATGATGCGCATACCTTGGGTGGATAGAGTTCGAAACGATGACGTCCTTAATAGAGCCGGCGTGGAAAGAGAACTCTTTGAATTAATTAAAAACGCAAGATTATTTACCTTGGGCACATATTGAGAGGAGCAAAATATGAAATACCACAGTTAATCCTACAAGGGAAGATCGAAGGTAGGAGAGGAGCCGGCCGCAAACAATTATCCTGGTTAAGGAATATTAAAGAATGGACAGGAATACACAATACAGGTGAGCTGTCTCACGCCGCCAAGAACAAAATTCTAGTAATGAGATAGTCGCCTACGCACTTTGGTGTATGGCATGTTAAGAAGAAGAAGACTTGTATGAGATTCGATGACAAGACGACTCGATCAGATCGACTAAAGATTGATAAGTTGTCAGCTGTTAGACAAATCTTCTCACTATTTGTAGAACATTGCAAAAAGTGATAGTCTATGGGACAAAATGTAAATATAGACGAGATGTTGGTAAGCTTTCGGGGTAGATGCGGATTTAGGCAATATATCCCATCAAAACCTAACACATTTGGAAGAATTCGAAAATCCGAAAGCAGATTTTTTCTGTAATAACAGAAATATCTTGTACGTTGTAGGCTTGGGCATAATAGTTCATCATAAAGAGCGCTCAGTTTAGTTCAAATGTGAGAAATGAACTAGGTCGCTCTTTTAGTTCACTAGTTCATTAACTCAAAGAGTTACTAAGCATGAGAGATTTATTTACACATGAGCAAAATGTTAGATTATTTTATCTTTTGTACATAAGTTTATTTTTGATAACGCCGATTTTAATTTATATTAGAATTATAAATATTTTATTACAAAATTTATTATTGTTTTTTTTAAGAATGTGGTAAAGATCAATAATAAGAAAATAAAGGACAAATTAATTAGTTTAAATTTATTTAAAAAAATAAAACCAGTACTCTAACACAATTTATAAGAAAGGTACTAAAATTAATACATTATAAAATAGATTTAAATGACTTAGGTTACATATTTGTATGTAACCTAAGAACGTAGAACTCTTTCAAAAGAGTTCTACGTTCATTTATTATTTGACCTGTGCCAGAAAAAATCCGTTCACATGGCACAGAAGTTGCGACGACACAAAATCGATATAAAATTAACGAGTATAAATTTGGATAAACCTTTTTTCTTTGATCCCACCATTCTAGTGGATTGCTTTTTCTATCTAGATAGTTCTCACCTAAATATTTGTCCAACTCTATAATGCCAGCCATTTGTTTATTTTCTGGTCTAATGATTTTTATAGTTTCCTCATCATAGTCATCCCAAATGCTCTTCTGCTGGTTTCTGTCTTCACTGACTATAATATTTATGTTTATATTGTTTGTAGGCCTTTCTTGATTAACTTCCGGTAAAGATGCAATCGCAAGTTTATTTCGAAGTCCCTGGCATGCCTTCTCATAAGCTTTGACATTTGTAACACCTCGATTTCTAAACCTTGGGTCCAAAATAGTACACTCTGCAAAAAGCTCATTATCTTCTATATTTTGAAATCGATTTCTCATTGCCTCTTTTAAAACATCTAATAATGCGGTCACTTTAGGATTGTCTGTAGAACTTTTTGATAAAAATTTATCAATAATTTTACAAAACACTATAACTTTTGATAATATTACATTTTTTTCGGAACAAAGTTCTGTTGTTACTTCATAAAATGGTTGCAGGAGTGGTAGTACTTGTTCTATAATGTTCCAGTCGTCTTGCTGCATGGAAAGGTCATTCCGCAAAAGGGCTGTAGTTGTAATAATAGCATCTTTTATTTTAAATATGCGCTCTAACATTTCAAATGAAGAATTCCAACGAGTTGAAACCTCTTGTTTCAATTTTAAAAGTGGTAAGTTCATTTGTCTTTGGGCGTCTTGTAATTTACGTAGTCCCTGAGTGCTTCTTTTAAAATATTCCACAATAGATTTCACCTTTGCAAGAGTATCTGATATTGTCCGTTTTGCTTTCTGAACAACCAAATTTAATGAATGTGCAAAGCACCCAACCGATGTCCAATTGCCCATTTTAACAGTTAATAAAATATTTGACGCATATCACTTACAACAGCAGCTATTTTGTGAGAAATTTGCCATTCTTGCAATATGTTTTTCAGGAAATCTAACATGTTTTCAGCAGTATGTCTTTCATTATAGTGGATGCAGCCTAACGTAGAAGAACAAAGCTTTGATTGTTCGTCAATATAATGAGCTGTTACAGCAATGTAACTTTCATTAGAGCGGAATGTCCATGAATCAGTAGTAAGGCACACGGCTTGTGCGTTATTTAACTTTATTTGTAATTCTTCTGCTATTTGCTGATGTGTTTTTATGAGCAAATTTTCAGACAATTTTTTCCTAGATGGTAATTGATAATTTGGACAATGAGATACCATTTTAATTAATTCTTTAAATTCTGTTTCTTCGACCATTCTTAATGCATGATGCCCTTTAGCGATCATTTTGATAACTTGTTTATCTATTTGTTCTATTTTATGTATTGATGGCGGCTTTCGAACAAAATTTGTTATTCTGGTTTGAGATCTTGCTTTGGTACTTGAGGAAGATGACGTGTGACCAGAGATATCTTCACTATTCATTACATGGATTTCAGGTATAAGTTCAGACTTAGACGGTTCCACTGATGTTAAGACTATGGGGTGCTTACTTTTCATATGGCGACTTAAGTTTCCATTTGAAACATTAGCAATGCTAATTGATTGGGAGCAGTAATTGCATTTGGCTCTTTTGTCTCCATGTTCCGTAAAATAGTCCCAAAGAGCACTGTGTTTTCTTTTCGAACTCATAGTATTTTTTTAAATCTGAAATAAAAAAAGACTTATAATTGTACACAATTATTATTATACACAACTACTATTATACACAAGTATAGGTACTATATAAACATACAATTAATATTACATACAAAAATTAATTATTATATACAAAAATTAATAATTAATAAACATAAAATAATGATTCTATTGTACATATTATTATTATTGTTATTATACATATTATTCTACACAATTATAATACACTAAAACAATTTTTACTTACATAAATATATCACCAGTTATCAGCTCACCCTCACGGTAAAGTAAACTAAATTATCTATATAATGAAAATAAAACGCACCACAAACTTGAAATTATAATCTCAACTAAATGATTTCTCAGCAGTTTCAGCGCGCACCCACTTCTACTCGTGCTTCTACTAATCGTCCACATGTCCACATATTAGTTCCTAAATGGTTAGTTCTTTTCATGTTCTTCCGTCCTACCCGCTACCCGCTCAGTTACCCAGCTCACTTATTTCGTTCATCGCGTCTGAACTCGGAAGATTTGAACTGAACCGCTCCTGACCGACGAACAAACGAAACGCGAAGCTTCGACTTCGAGAAATAAACGGCTCAGTGGAGCGAGTGAACGGTTTAAGCCAGCTCTGACGAACTAGTTCATTTAGTTCAGGGTTTGGAGCCGGATCTTTGAACTAGTTCGCTCATGCACTACACAAGCCTAGTACGTTGCATATGATTTCATTGCCACCTACAGGGTTAAGTGTAATATCTGAAGATACATGTGTTTCTGTGATGATAGAGGTATCTTGTATATCATTTTTTGTGATTCCACCTGTCTCCGTAGTATGAATCGTGGGGAGATCTATGGTATTTTGAAAAAAATAAACATATTAAAGAGAAATTTTGAATCTCCATTTAGTTCGTCAAAATTATCCAAACTTTGAAATTCTAAAAAAGGCTCCAAAACTTTATTTTTATACATGTTTAATTAATTCTTGATTTTTATCATTTGGACATATTTTCCTCTACCATTTAAGTGAAAATTTGTTAAACACGTACATTCACACACGTCCATAATATTAAAAAAAAACTAAAAATATTTACCCCACTTTTCAAAAAGACTGGATCACTTTCAACTTTCTGCGGTTCTATAGCTACAGATTTATCATTAACTTTCTCTAGATAGTAAACTTTTAGACCCATTGGTGGGATGTTTATAGCAGCTACAAGTTCATAATCACTTGATGATGGATACTTTATGGGATACTGCATGTGCCTTACAATGTCAAAGTCTACAAAACCTAGAAAAAAATTAATTTGATTGTTAATTGATATAGTATTAAAAAAGAAAGCTTGGAATTTAAACAACATAATTACTAGGTGAAATATCAGTTAAAGAAAAAATGTTGGAAATACCGATAAAATGGTCACCATAGCCTAATTAATATTGTCTTAACTCTACTGTCTTAACACTCTATTTACGATACAGGATCTCTTAAATATTCTTCCAACTTGCAAAAATTCAACTGCAGATCCCGATACCACCTCCTTCATATTCGTCAAAAATTTTCCAATATCTGCTGTAAAAAATTGCTTATGCTGTACAACATAATACGGACCAATCAGAAATTTCCAATATTTTGGAGGGAATCTATTGTTATACCAATCAAGAAACAGAACAAATTCCCAAATAATCCAAATTCCTACCGTCCTATTTCACTGACATGTACTTTGCTTTATAAAAATTAAGGTTAGAAAATGCTTTAAAAACTAAAAATATGAACTAAAACAGGAACTAAAACTAAAATAGGAACAAAAAGGGTAAGAATTGTTGCCAGGCATGTAGAGTCCCGAAGCTACAAGGAAGACCCCCAAAACCCCAAAAAAAAAATCGGTTGTTTTTTAATGATATTACTTATTTCGTAAATTAAATTTTTTACTAAACGTTTCAATGTATCTTAACTCACTCGTTTTTTACATGTATTTCGGTACATATTTACATGTATTACGGTTTACATGCGGTATATAGAAGGCCCGTCAGGCCTTCTATATACAGCAACCGCGGACTAGGCCCTTAAGGCAGATCAATTGAATACTGATCTACTCGCGATACCCGAGCACTGAGGTCATGTGCGGCAAACGTGGGCTTGGTGGCCGGACCTTCTCGGGCGCCCAGTGGGCGAGGAGAACAAAATTTATTTTGCCAAATTGGCGACTAAGTGACCGAGCACACAGTCTTTCCCGGACATGGAGTCACTAGCTTAGGTTGGCGGCTCCATGGACGGAACAAACGCTTTTTTCTTTTTTATTTTAAGGACTCAAGTACCTAAGTGATGATACAGTAAAATTAACAGAGTCAGTAAAGTAAATAGGGAGAAAAGCCTAGTTGTGGCTACTCCTACAGTTAGGTGGCATAACCACAGTCAATAAAAACAGAAACTGTGTCATTACCCAAGGCACCTTAAGTAACTTTCAGATCATAAGCCTCCTCACGTAAGTCACTCGATGAGGAGGGGTGGAGGAAAAGCCTGGGGTCAGATAGGTACCACTTCAACTAGTAAAGTGTGACCGGTTTGATCTTCGGACATGTGGATCCCGTTCTTAGATTGGTATACACATGTTCCTAGAGACAGGATTAATCACTGCGTGTGTGTGTGTGTGCTTTAAAACCTAATAAAACGTATGTGGTATCTGGAAAAACACAAAATTTTAGACTCAGCTCAATCCGGATTCTCATCCCATGCACGTACATGCACGGCTGACAACTAATGTGACAAACAGAGATCACAAACTGAGGCAAGTTGTATTTTTAGATGAAACTATAACTTTAGATGAAAATGCACTGACCTAATCGGTGCACTGTTATCGATTTTTATTAATGTGAAAAATTTTTTGAGGTTGAATTAAAAATAAAAGCGTATTTCTTTAAAAATCTAAAATAAAAAATATACTCTTATTGAAAATTAAAATATTATTCCTAATAAAATAAAAAATAATTCTTTATGACCTACAGAAATGGTTCAAATAGTTGACCTTCTACGGCTGAACAGTACCCCAATCTGTCATAAAAACTTCTGCAAACAGATGAAAGAGTTTCTGCTGTAACAGAATTGGAGACTTCTCTTATTCGATTTTTTAATTCATCCAAATTTTGGGCTCTAGCCTCAGGATGATCGTAGATAATGCTTTTTAAATGTCCCCAAACAAAGAAGTCCATGGGTGTCAGATCTGGAGATCGCGCAGGCCACTTAATATCATCTATTCCACTGATAACTTGATTCGGGAAAGTATTGTTTAAATACTCCCTAATAATTCGAGCGTTGTGAACTGAACAGCCGTCTTGATGAAACCAAACATTCTCCAGATTTACATCAGGAAGATTGAGAATAGCGGGAAGAACATGATTCTGTAACAAATTAAGTTATACCTTTCTATTCAAGTTGCCCTCAATAAAAAATGGACCTATTATGTGGTCTCCTATGCCAGCCCAGACGTTAACTTTTTGAGGACGTTGAGTTCGGTAAACAACACTTCTGTGCTGGTTTTCCCGCGTCAAATACCTCGTAATGGAAGGATTGTGTCTCCCTACTAACGAAACAGAAGATTCATCAGTGAATAAAATGTTTTTAATAAAATTTGGTTCACTATTAGCCTTCGTTATTAGAGTTTCACAAAACTCCATTCTTCGAAAGTAATCGTCTGGATAAAGCTGCTGCGTTTTCGAATATTTAAAATTTTTGAAACCGAGCTTTTTCCATACTTTCGTTACAGTAAAATTGCAAACATCTAACTCTCTAGCAACGCTTCTACTTGAACGTGTTGAATCTACCTCGATTGTTGCACAAATTTGTGTATCCCGGTATTCTCTTTCCTCAAAACAACTCTCAAAATTTTTAACAATATTATAAATTGACTGTACACAAGGAATTGGTTTTTCCTCAAAAAACACAGAAAATAAATCTACACACTGTTGCGCAGAATTGCCACTATAAAACCATTTTATTATTTGAGCTTTTTCCACGGCCATATAAACAGACATGTTTACAAAAATAAATTTTTATTAAACACGATTATTGTATAAAGTGGACCGATGCCGTCTATAACTCACCCTCACAAAAATAAATTAAAACTCTACGCTGTTATACTTTTAAACAACCACGGTATAATGACAATATGACAAATTTGCCGACGGGCGACGAGCAACGACGAGTCAACGAAGCAGATATTTAGTGCAAGTCGACGACGCGCAGTGTTGCCATTTATAGAGTGTATACCTAATCCAAAAATTAACGCACTGTAATACAGACATTGGGAGAAATATCATCTTATCTATTGTTTTCATTCAGTTATGTATTACTGCAGCAAAAATATAATAAAGTAATTATATAAAAAAAGTTACCTTCTGGTCCAGTAAGTGTGTAGTTAACGTTATTTACCGGTATCCTCAGGAAATAATCTATAGGTCTTGCCAACGGGTTATACACAACAATCAAAGATCTGCTCTTCATCGTATGTTCACAAATGCTTACGTTAGTTAGGAGACATGTTGCTAGTGGTAATTTAACATCATCAGCTGATTCATTCACTTTAAGTAGCTTTCTGTAAGTAAACATTAAAAATATATACGGAACAAATATGACTTTATTTATCCAATTTCTGTAGTAGTAAGACTATACTCTGAATAACATTGATTAGCAAATTTTCTCAAACCTAAATTGCTTGTTAGAATCTGATATCTGAGAAGAAACACTCTAATATATCTTGACTTACAATAATAATACAGTGCGCCATTATAACAGTGATAAAGAAATAATAACTAAAACCAACCTAAAAATATTTAGGTCACATATCACAAGAGTCCTTCTGTATAAATAGGAAACTTAAAAGGTAGACAAAATACTAAATATTCCAACTTAATTTTAAACAACAACAAAAATGAAGTGGAAAATACAAAAATAGTCACAGACAAGCAGGGCATCGAAATCTGCAAATCTAAGAAAAATCTAAAAAATCTAAAAAAAATTTTCTATTCTCATATTAAACTCATTAAGAAAAATACTTTAGAACTATCGATAAATCTGGATCCTTTGACGCCACTAACCAATAACTCGATATCTTCTAGTAAGATTGAGGGAACCGGATAACTTGTCGGAAGTCTTGTCAATTTCTGTAGAAAAATATATGGACCTGCAAGTTTTAAGAAGTTCTGTTCACCAAAAGCGGCCGAATACTGCACTAACATTAAATATTTTAAGTAGTAAGTTTTTTTAAACCAATGTAACATTGTAAAATTAACCATCTATTGCTATGTCAATAAGCAGTAGAAACCTTATTTGCATTAATTGCCCCACAGATAAACCTAACTTTTGTTTAATCGTTAAGGAGACTATGCTGTTTAGAAGAACAACCAGAAAAAAACAGCTATATACGGGACAACAAACGGTTTATAGACCATCAAAGTTATACGCCCAAAGAACTTGAAGAAAACCCATCTAAAAATCACCGATAGTAAACATAAACAATTTTAATCAGGATTTGCATCAATACCTCATAAGTAAAAAACGAATGTGTTTTCATATATTAGTTGGTGATATCAATATTAATTTGTTTGAGGATCTAGATCACACTGAAGAATACCAGAATATTCTAGCTTCACAAAATTTCTTGTCTTATATAAATAAAACAACTAGACCTAGAAGTCAAACTTGTATAGACCATTTCTTTATAAAAAGACCTGCTGATTACACTAACATAACTTCATTTATATTTGAAAATAATACTACTTCAGATCATTATCCAATCGCAGTTTCCATTCCTAATCTAACCAAAACCAAAGAAAACAAAATAATAATAAAGAAGTACATCAACTACAAAAATCTAAAAAACAATTGTGGTTGGATATTTACAATAAAACAAATAAAAATGAAGCGGTAAAACTTTTCATTGACAAAATTTTAAATTTAATAAACAAAAATACAATTATTTTAAAAGGAAATGATCTAAAAACCACTTTTAAAAAAGATTGGATGACAGGGGGACTTTTAAAGTCTGTACAGGAAAAACACAGATTGTATGATCAGCTAATCCAAGATCCCTCAGATAACTTAAAAAACAACGATATACAGACTACAAAAATAAATTAAGACACTTAGTTAAAACTGCAAAAAGAAATTATACAAAACAACGAATTAAAAAAAATAAGACCTCTTCTTCATCACTTTGGAATGTATTTAATCCATTGTGTCGAAAAATAAAAGGAAATACAAAAATTGAATCGGTTAAAATCAAAACAGGAGAAAAAATAACCGACAGAAAAGAAATTGCAAATGAATTTAATACACATTACAGTACATTGGGACAAAGGTATGCACAAAAAATACCCATTTGTAATGACCAGATTGAGGACATAGATAGGATAGAAAGCAGCATGTACTTGTATGTCGTTGACCAAAAAGAAGTGGTAAATGCAATACAATCTTTAAAACACAAAAAATCTCCTGGCTGAGATGGGATCAAGACAGAAACCATTAAACAAATTAAGGAAGAAATTATTACTCCTTGAACTTTTCTCATTAATGCATGTTTTCAGGATGGTTGTTTTCCAGAATGTCTGAAAATAGGCAAAATCAAACCTCTGTTTAAAAAAGGAAATAAAGAAGACGTGATTAATTACAGCCCAGTATCTTTGTTGTCTGTTTTTTCCAAAATATTTGAAAAAATTTTTAAAAAGAGATTAGCGAGTTTTTTGGATAGGTTTAGTATAATATCGGATTGTCAATACGGTTTTAGAGAAAGAAAATCTACACAAGATGCTATTTGTAAACTAACATCACAAATATCAGAAGCTTTTGAGTCTAATAAACGTAGTTTATGCATATTTGTCGATCACTCTAAGGCGTTTGACACGATATCTCACGGGATCTTGTTAGAGAAACTTGAGAAGTATGATCTGAGAGGACGCGTTTTGATATTACTAAAAAGTTACTTAACAGACAGAAAACAATTTGTAGAAATTGATGGTGTCGAAAGTGATCCTGAAGTAATTAATTATGACGTACCGCAAGGGACCGTTTTAGGCCCTCTACTCTTTACACTCTATGTTAATGACATGCTTTGCTGATGACACCGCAATTTTTTATAAGGCCGATAATTGGAAAGATCTTAAAACTATAGTTGAACAAGGCTTCAAAGTTATAAAAACATGGTTGCAAATAAACAAACTCACAATAAATTACGAAAAAACTAAATATATACCGTTTGCAATATATAAAACTTCTCTGCCAACTTTTAATTCATTAAAAATAAATAAAAAACAACAAATATTTAAAGCAGAATACATAAAATATTTAGGAGTTTTAATTGACAGGCACCTTAAATGGGACTTACAAATAAAAAATATTATAAGAAAAATACGAGGACTGTTACCAAAATTCCGCTATTTAACAGAGTTTTTGGATGTTGAACAGCTTAAAATTCTTTACCTGTCTTTAGTACAATCTCATCTTGTATAATATGGGATTTTAGGATGGGGTGGCGTAGCTGATTGCCATCTGGTGACCATTCAAAATACTCAGAAATGATTTCTTAAACTAATATAGAAAACGAAAAACATATCCCTCAGACCAACTTTTTCATGAAACTCAGGTTCTTGATGTTCGGCAATTGTACTGCTTAGAGCTACTTAAAAATATTCATAAATATAAAATACCTCTTAAAGTAAAAGTGTCAAATTATGAAACAAGAAGAAAATTAAATGTTGACTGTCTTCACGTTTATTCAAAAACAATCACGCAACGGTCAATTAAATATTTTGCTCCAAGAATATACAATCAATTGCCCATAAATTTTAAAAATATCAAAAATTTTTATTTGTATAAAAAATTAGTTAATGCTTGGGTAAAAGAAAAAAGGGAGTTGTGTAACAATTTAATAAATTTAAATTATACTAGATAAAAAAAAATAAACATTAAGCCTGTTAATATTAGACAGATTAAGTCAACAAGCATGTTAATGCTTTAAAGACTTTTTTTACGTTTATTTTATTGTAAGTAAACTGAAATTGTAAATTAATGTAATACTTATTGATTTGAATAAACGTATATTATTATTATTATTATTATTATTATTAGATAAAGTACAAAAAGGGGCACATTGCAAGAATGAGCCCCTTGTTCCTTTGCAGATATCTGACATGGTGCGTGAATGTCAACAGATCGTCTATAACGAGTACATAATTAGACAAACAAAAGTAAATTTATATTATACAGACATTCAGTAATAAGGAGATATTATTTTATATTTATTTATGTGTGTTTTAAAGAGGCTAAAAGGGATGTAAATTATCCCTTAAATAACGAACACTCAACGATTTACTCAAAACGAACAAAATTTCGATGAGCCTCTTTTATTCCTGTACCCTTCAATTACAAATACCAATACTCACCTAAGTATATTCCTAACACCTTCTTCATTAGTTTTTATAGCATCTCTTAGCATTCTAGAATAATCCTGTGCCACTCGTTCTTTTTGTGTACCAGTAATAGCGTTGTGGTGTTGTACAGTAGCAACTGCCTCTCTGAGACTCCTCAAATTTTCTTCGGCTTTCGATCCATTTATAATTTTTCTCATTTTGGCAAATGAATTGATTTGTTGGGCTGCCTGTAAAAAGATTAATTTCTGTAGAAAATGGAATTAAAAGAAAGATATACTATATACGGGTAACACATAGACAGCCAATGTCCGTTTTTGACTTTCCATCATGGCGCCTCAGAAAAACGGTCGTGCTTACGACTCATTAGTTACGTGTTGTAAAAAGTGTCAAAAACTTGCACAAAGTGGATTTTTTATGTCTGAAATGTGGAACGAGTGGAATGTGGAAAATATATTAAATTTGACGATGAAATAATTATATGCTGTGAACAAAATGTGGGATTGTATTTTCGAATTTTGATGGTGAATGATTGCCTCGTGTTCGAAGAGATTGCTGGGTTTATTCTACAAAATACAAGTAAGGGCCTCACTAACATTTTCTTTGTGATCCTATTACTTCAAATATTTTCCAATCTTTTATATAGTTAAACCACCTCTAAACGTTTTGGTAGATTTAAATTTAGTTGACGTTCACCATTATGGAGGACAAAATTACTCCTGACCAGCCACCATATCCGGACTAATATATCCCTATGTAATCCCTAATGTAAATAAAAATCTGTCTCAAAACAATGCAATAGGAAAAGTAAACATTAAAGGAAAAAGTTACTATTTTGAATCCAATTTTGGGCCTTTTGAGGTCTTTGTTTAGGGTAAAAATAGTATTGTGAGTAACTATGTGTGTGTGGTTGGAATATTGACTGCGAAACCTATAGTTTCATTCGCCTAATCATGTTTGACTTTGATTCTTAACAATGACTAAAATAAAAGCTATTAATATTTAAAATTTACATTATTAATATTTTTAAAACAATATCACTACGTTAAAAATTCTACATTATACAATTGGTAAACTTACAAACATCATATTTTTTATTTATTTATTTATTTATTTTTATATACAATTTTCTAGTAGAAGGTATCCAGTTTTGTATCCATGCATCCAGTGCCCAGTGGTTGTTTATCCAGTATTATCCAATTCCGCAAGCAGTGTTTTTTTTTATTTTTTTTTTTTATTTTTTATAATTTTTTTTTTATTTTAATATTTTTAATATTTTTTCTGTATTTCTTTTTATTAATATTGTCTAATATATGTATTTTTTTATTGTTGAAATGCTTTCTTTTTTATTTTGTTTTATATATATATATTTTTTTTTCTTTTTTCATTTATATACAAGTTTTGGTATACATTGGTCTTTATAAATTATTGTTTCATATTCTTATTTTTAAACTGCTTATGTATTGATACAGCAACTTATAAACTTCTAAATTGTTAGAAACTATTAACCCATAAAGGTTGATGGGTTTTACTAAAATTTTTATTTTCATAATGGTTTCCATAAAAACATTGGTCTTTATTCTATTTTTACTACAATTTAATATCATATTTTCTAGTGTGCCATATTCTCCACATTCGCAGTTTGGGGAATTTAAAATTTTTAATTTAAATAAGTGAGATGGTGCTAGGGAATGATTGAATCGAATTCTACAGATAATTCTGATTGCATCTTTTTTTGTTATAAAATTACAGAACCATGGTTTGGTAGGAATTTTTGGCTGAATGCCTTTATAAAAAAGTCCCTTGGTGGAATGATCATATTTATTCATCCATTCCTGCCTAATTATATTTTTTGAAATAATATAAAGGTCTTCAGGAACTAATGAATAATTTACAACAGTATCGGAATCTAATGCTTCCTTGGCCAGTATGTCTACTTTTTCATTGTGGATGATCCCACAATGAGCTTTAACCCAAACAAACTTAACTATTTTTCCTTCCTCATACAAGTATTTAAAATTAATTAATATATTTTGTAAGATATAATTAATATTAATATTAGTAGATATGTTTGAAAGTTTATGTAAAACACTTTTACAATCTGATATTATTAAAAAAAATTATTATTAAATAATTTATTTTTAATATATTTTAATGCTTCTAATATAGCGAGTTGTTCAGCTGAATAACTTGAAAATTCACTCGGAAATTTTTTAGCCTCGAAATAGTCTCGTGTAGGGTCCCAAAATGCACAGGACGTTTTATCGTCTTTTTTTGATGTATGTGTAAATATGATATGATAATTTTTAAAATCATTTTCTATGTCTGAATTAAACATCACATTTCTCAACGACATGGGGTAATTAGAATAATCTCTTAGAAAACGTATGTCTATTTCAGGCACATCAGTTAAGTTTGTTTGATATATCAATAACAGTTCGTTTTTATACATATTGTCTTTATATTGTAAGCAGTCTTGATATGATTTGCTGCTTCAGAGTATAGAAAGCATCCGTAATCCAGAATTGATCTAATAAATGACCTGTATAATAACAGGGACATTTCTGAATCGGCTCCCCAACTGTAAGAACTTACAGCTCTTAATATATTTAATCCTTTCTCGGCTTTTTTTAATATTCTTTCTATGTGCTCTTTCAAGATTAATTTTCTATTAATTGTTACTCCTAGGTATGTTACGTGGGAGATAACGGAAAAACTATGGCCTTGTAAAACAAGCTGATTAGGAATAGTTCGTTTCCGGGTGAATATACATGCTTTTGATTTCGTGAGTGAAATATTTAAACTTTTCTCGTAACACCATTGTTTAAATCGAAGAAAAAATTGATTTAAATAACTGTAACCAGATTCAAAATCACAATTATCAATGTAAATGCATATATCGTCAGCATATTCCAGTATCTTAATATCCCTGAATTCGTCTGTTAGCTTTTCTAGGTCAAAGGTATAGATTGTATACAATATAGGACTTAAAACGCTACCCTGAGGTAATCCCAGACTTGTTGTTCTTGTATCTAAAATTTCCTCATTTATTTTAAGGTTAATTGTGCGATTAGGATATAATTTTATTATTTTTCTAGAAAATTCACAACTAAAACCAATTAGCACCATTTGTTGATGTAGAATTCCTAGATTTACTTTATCGTAGGCTCCCTGAATATCCATAAACAACGCTATGGTAGAACGATTTAATGAGAATGAGATATTAATGTTGTGACATAAGTGACTTCTTGTTTTGAGCATTCGCTCAAATGTTTTAAGTACACAGGATGCCAGTGATATACCTCTCTATGATTCTGCTAGATTTGAATCTTTTTGCGGTTTTAACATTGGAATCATAATGTATTTCTTCCAATCTTCTGGAGTGAGTAACTATCAATATCCTAAGTATTGCCAAGACTATATTTCATTTAAAACTGAAAGAGATTGCTAAGTTTGATAGAAAGGGAAAAAATAGAGTTGGGGTAGTATTCAGGAACAGACAATCTGCCAATTCGTTTATCCTTAGGACTTTGAAGAATTAGGTTGTAAGGTTTTTATCCCACACATCTTATTTCTTGTAAAGGTATTGTTAGGGAAGTTTTTAAATCTTTGTCAGAAGAGGAAATTAAAATGTCAACTTCTACTAACCTACCGTTTTGTAGAGTTGTCTTTGTTAGAAGAATGAATAGAATGACTATGCAAGATAATTCAGAAACCATTTTCATCCCTACAGGTACTATCTGTTTAACCTTTTTAGGAAGGAATATCCCCAAAGAAATTGAGAAATTTATGCTCTACCTGTGAGGGTGATACCCTCTGTTAGTGCAGTTCTTCAATATCATAACTGTCTTTTATATGGGCATTCTCTTTTTCAATGCACGTTCTCCCTTGTGTGTAGGATGTAGTAAGTTTTGTATGTTCTGTAAAATACGAGATCACGATTCTGGACATCCTGGATGTAAAAAAAGAAAAAGCATTAACTCATGTCGTTTGCCAACTTATCCTATTATGAAGCTAACCGAAACATTCAAAGGGAAACATCTAGCCCAAAGTTGAACATTAAGGATTTTCCTAATTTTGTAAATAATCTATCCCCTGCAAATAGTATTTCAGTTCAAAAGAGAATATTAGTTCATACATCCCTGGCTTCAAATTATGTTTCCTACAGTCAAATTACAACATTCACTTCATCAAAAAGGAAAGGACCAATAAATGTAGGCTTTCATCAAAGTTCTCATTCTAAATATTGAACAATCCTAATAGGAGATCCCCCAAAGAATCTTCTAGTCACTTTATCATTAATTGTCAGACCCAAAGAGATTTAAATGTGGCTATATTAATGCTTCCACTTAATCTCACTTGACAATCCACTTCACATTATAATCTTTACAGATGGGTCAGTTGATAGTAAGGGCTCAGCAGGATTAGGTGTTTTTTGTCCTGACTTTGAATACTCATACTCTATTAAACTCCCTACACAGACTCAAGTTTGCTCTGGAGAGATTATCGAAATTAATCACGCGGTTAAATTTATCTTGGAGAATGATATCAAGAGGGCCTTAATCTTGTCTGAGTCTAAGAGTGCTATCCAAAAGATAGGAAAAACGTCTTATTTAATGAAAACTAAACATACCTCTATCATGACCAAAAGAGTCATTACAGAAGCCAATCAACAGAACATCAGTATTATTCTGGTATGGATTCTAAGAAATTCGGATAGTAAGGGCAATTGTGTTGCAGACAAATTAGCAAACATAGGAAGATCACTTAAAATGTTAGCCAAAGTTAAATTGCATTATTCAAACTATTTATTTCATATTAAAAAGCTAATTTGGACTCGATGGGCACAAGAAAGGAATTCAAACAGATCAAAAGTGTCGTTTTATAGTAAAATAATCAATAAATGGAACAAATCATCATGGTTTAGTCACTTTTCTTATAAAGACAGAAGGCATATCACCATGGTAATTACAATGAGGACATAGGTACTTCCGCATAGGTACTCTGGACAACCCAAACTGTAAATGTGGTCAAACTGGATCTCTGAATCATCTGATCTAGAGTGTCCAATAAACGTTTCTCCAAATTTTGATCTCTACAAAGAATTAGTTAAAACAAAACTACAAACTACTATAGAGATTTGCTCTCTCCTATCTAACCTTAATCTTCAAAGATTAAATTTGTTGATTATTTTGTTTCAATCTAGCCAAAATCAACCTATAATATATATACCTTTCTTATATTCTGTATAACATAACCTTACAAATTCCTTTCATTTTTAGACCTGGTTTCTCTGACTATCATTCGTTGGTAGCATTTCTGGTATACGTTCAACTTGGTTGCTACCCTCAAGCGAGAAAAGTTTTATCCTGTATTATATTGTCTTTCCTATACTACCTGTTTGACCTAATAAAAAGAATTTTTAACAGTGTTAATTGAATATAAAATAAATTTAATTTAGTCTTAGATGGGGATATTCCATTGTCTAGAGTAACTTGAAAATATCCCCCCTGAATTAGCTTGGCAAATTATTCTCTGGGATATTACCCAGTAAAGGAAGAAAAAGAATAAATGTGAGGTTAAGTGATCCGGCAAACGAAATCTTGTAATCCATAAAACAAATTACGATAAATCTAACAGGGACCTAAATTTTGAACGACCGAAACAGTCTAGCAGAACAGAATAAACAAAAAACAAAAAAGCTACACCTGCAAAAAAATTGTTGTTAATGAAAGTTCAGCTGTTGATAAAGAAGGAGTTCCCCAGCAAAAACTATGTTTAAAAATGGTACCAATAAAAATAAACAAGTCGTTTTCTTAATCGAAAATAATAAATTACCAGCTGATATTTTAAAAATACAAACGGAGGCAAAATGTTCAGATATTATTATTTTAACAAACGATGAAAATTTGACAAACTATTAGGCATAAAAAAGAAATGGACGTATATTTATAGGTAATAATGGGAACTCTAAAATCAGTGGTGTTCCAAAATTTAGTCATCTCTATGTTACTAGAGTAGACCAACATACAACGGCAGAAAATTTTAAGCAGATGTTAGAAAAACACTTCGTTCACGGCTAAGCACCCCAACATAGGTATATATTCATATTTTAAAGTCTCAATTAATTAAGTTATATCGATGGACCCAAAACTATGGCGAGTAGGCTACTAGGTACGTGAGTATGTTTTTTACAAAGCACACAACAATACCAATACCAATAAAATACCTTATCAATGTCGTTTTCCAAAGAGCAAATTCTTACCTTTAAAATATTACTACTAGTTCGTTCAAGTTTCTTTAGGGCAGGCCTTGATGTGTACAGTCCTGACCAGTAGCTGTGCTGGTTGTCGTTATATGGAAAGAAGTCTTCCGTTTTCATAACTTCCAACAGAACTCCGGACTGCTCTATTTCTTTTACGTAACAAGATGGCGTCGAATAAAATATGTTGTAGGTTTGATTATATACGGGGTGATTCTGAAATCCTCTAAAAATTTAAAAAATAAATATTATCAGTGGTGGTTTTAATGCATGTGTAGGTCAATAAATTGAGGACTTGGACTGAGAACTCTAACTGGTGCTGAAGATAAATATTATGCTAAAATTGACAATGTCATTAGATATGGCAATTTATTAACATATTTCAGGGCAATCCCCTTTGTAAAAAAACCCAATAATTGTGTTGACGAATACGATTGACATATGAAAGAATATATTGCTATATGTTGGAAAACTCAGCTACATAAAAAAGGTGATGTTACTAGGATAGATAACTATAGACCAATAAGCCTTCCTCAGCAAAATCATTTTATCTACTCTTGCTGTTAAAGTGTCACTTTATCTACCCTTGCGGTTAAAGTGATACTTTATCTACTCAAAACAGCTGTTATAGCAACACTTTAACATTAGCTATGGAAAAAAACGATATAAATGTTGTTTATGTAAAACATAAAGGAAAAAACAAAAAATCAAATTGTGAACATAAACTATTGTTTAAAAAAACGCAAGGTAAAAATACGAATAATTTTTCATTTATTCGTCATCTAGTAACCCCCACCTATGTCTTAAAAGCTTCAGATATCTGGGAAAATTTTTGCCGTGAAATCGATTATTTTTGCATAGCCAGATTGGGCTATATCAGATCGTTCTTTAAACAGTAAATGTCAGCTGTCTTAGGTACTTGGTGCAATCTTTTAAACAATTTTACTTCATTTTTTTTTTATTATAAAGATATTTTCTTATTCTATCAGCAAAAAGTTCAAGGATTACATTTGTTTACCAGACAAAAGTGAGCTAATACTATTAGACTAAACAAATTTGTTCAGATTGCAACTAAGTATTCGTATTATTTCATCATTTTTTCGATTAAATCGTGATAAATAGAAAAATATTATAATAAGTGCATGAATATATAAAAATATTATCTTTTGATTAATCAATAAATTGACAAAGTAGTTATTTACTTACTTTATGAGTTTGTCAATGTTTAAATAATTGATTTCAGCGGCTTGATACTGGAAATCTCCTCCCATGGGATATAGAATATTATGTGTTCGGAAATATTTAGCATAGTGGTCTATATTTTGTGCAAATTCATCTACCTGAAATTCAAAATAAAGGAAAATATTTTTACAAATTCTACTGCGTAATGGAATCATGTTGGGACCTTTCGTCAGACCCTTGTCCCATTCTAGTTAACCTAGACTCCAAAATCATACTTAAAAGTAACCCTCGAGTCCTAACCACTAACCAAACAAACTGGAATATATTTCTAAGTGCACTTACAGAACAGATAGCAATGAACTTGCAACTCAAAATAGATATACAAATTGAAAACACTGAATGGAGTGCTACTCCTAAACAGACAATGGAAGGAATGCATAAATTGTTCTCTAAGTGCAAAATACTTGATTGAAGAGAATAAAAACAAAGGAGAAAGTGGCAAAACACATACGCCCCTATTGACAAAACAAGCTTAAAAAGAATAACCAGAAGTAGGTAAGGAAATAATAAATAAGAATTACTCACAATCAATTTAATTTAACTATTCAGACGACCGGTTTCGCTTTCTACAATATGCAAAGCATCTTCAGGTCTCGATATAAAGTCAAATAAATGCTGAAATGATAAAAACCCATATTAAGGTGTCTAATAAAGATAAACAAAGTAGATATTGTTCTGAAGCTATTTTCTTGTGGCATTGTAAATTAATTACTATTAAACTGGGAATAAGCCACAATTAAAGATAAAAATACGTTTATTGACGTTTCAATTTCTACTTCGGAAATCGTTCTCAAAATACAAACAGTAAATTAAACAAATTTTGTTTTTTGTTACATAGTGAAAAATTCTTCTAATAATTTAATTTTATCTGACTCATTTATATTGACAATTCAGACATACATTATGCATTTTAAAGTAGACGACTTTAAAATGATATTGCCAATATTGTTGTGTTGCGCTCCTGGGACGACTTTACTTATAAGATAGTTCATTCGATTACATGAAATCAACTTTAACTTGAGAATATCCGTCAGAAAAAAATCATAGCATGTAATTCGTCTTTAAAAAGACAAACACATGACATGATGACAGTAAAATTCTCCTGTTAGTAATTCCATAGTAAATTATGAGGGAAATTCAGGAAAAAAACCTCATAATACTATCCCGACATTGTAAGTATTTGTTCGTGAATTTAGTTTACCTTCAACAAACATCAAATTTCTGATTTTATATGTTACGTTATTTAAAAAACATAAATGATGTATCCTCTATATGTTACTGACTTACCAGTACTGGTATTTTCTTATTAATAACTTCCTCTTTTAATATTAGTAACCAGATCCTACTACATTCTACCGAGGAATTTGCGACACAATTGGCCTCATTTAGCATAATTAGAGCCGCTTCTTTGATTTTTCTTTTTTTACCATCCGTTTCTTTTAGGACTACATTTGAATTATTCCATTGAACCCTATGTTCATTATCCCATGCGTGTTTACATATTTGAGATCTATCAAATTCTCTATTTTTAATATAAGATTGATGTTCACTTATTCTAACATTTAATGGCCTTGATGTTTCACCTAAATAAAACTGATCGCATTCACAAGGTATTTTTTAAATGCAATTCTTTGTCCTTTCTTGTTCATTGTTAGGTTTGGTTTTGGACAAAATAGATCTCAACTTGTTTGTTGTTTTGAATGTTGTTGAAATGTTGAATTTACTTGCTATCCTTTTAAGTTTTTCTGATAATCCTTTTATGTACGGTATTGTTATTTTCCTCGTATTATTCCTTGTGTATGCTGTAGGATCTCGTTTTAAGTTGTTCTGTTCTATTCGATCGATTGTTTAAAAATCCCTATTTACAAACGATAAAGGATAATCATTTTTTAATAAAATAGATGTTAACAAATGTTTCTCCTCCAAGAATGAATTTTCGTTAGAACAAGTAATTTTGGCTCTATCGTATAAGGATTTAATTATTCCCTTTTTTACATTAATATTGTGATTTGATTTGAAATTTAAATATCTATTGGTGTGTGTTGGTTTTCTATACACCTGAGTCTCATATCCAGTATCGTTCTTAAAGATTAAAACATCGAGGAAAGGTAGCGTGTTATTATATTCCTTTTCCATGGTAAATGTTATTGTCTCGGTGCCAGTACACTTATTATCCATGCTAATTTGAGACATATTTTTATAAAACAAACTTATATATTACTACTAACCTTTTAATTATATCATATTAGTGTGTAATATTTAGTAATTTTTATTAGAACATTGGATTTTAATGAAATAGTGGTTGATATTCACCAAAATAATAATTTTGCTCATATAACCTGTTTGATTTATTATGATTTTTTGCATTGAAGTTTGACAGCGACTGTGCGAGGTTGCCAATTTTTGTGATAGGTTTTTTCCAGTTTTAAATCTTTTAAATGATATGTATTTAAACAAATTAAAATATCTCTGGATGAAATTTATAAATTGTCAAAACAAATTTAATTTATGTTTTGCTTATATTTCTGAAAAATGGAAGTGAATTCTATAATTGATATAAATAATATAACACAAAAAAGCGATACTGAATTAATTCAATATGTGCAAAATATTGAATTACTTAAAGAACAATTTAAATGCAAAGTTAGACAATGTCGACGTCTATGTGTAGTGAGACAGAAAAATTGGTTTAAATTAAACCATGGTTTTTTGTGCAGTAAATGCAAAAAAATGTATTGTGTACGTACAGGTACATTTTTTGAAGGATTGAGAGTACCACTCAAAACTCTATTTTATGTAATGTGGTTTTGGGCAAGTCAGACGCCACTTAAAAGTGCCGCAGAAATAATGAATTTAGTAAAACGATCTGTTATACAGATATATCGGTATTTGCGAGATCTGGTTTCTTGGAAACTTTTGCAAGACGAAGAACCATTTTTATTAGGTAAAATAACAATAAAAAATATTAACATTTAGTTACGTTTCACATTCTTATTATTGCAGGTGGAGAAGGACACACAGTTCAAATTGTTAAAATTGAAAGTGTTGTAAGAAAAAGAAAATATAATCGTGGTAGAATAATTAAAGAACAATGGGTTTTGGGAATGTACGATATAGTTTTAAAAAGGGGGTACATAACATATTTAGAAAGTAGGAAAGGAGAGGTATTAGTGGAGATTATTGAAAAACACATCCGGGAAGGTAGTGAAATATGGACAGACCAGTGGAAGGGATATTCCAACTTAAAAAATTTAGGGTACATTCACAAAACTGTGAATTACACTAAATTTTTTAAAGATCTACTAACAGGGGTCTGTACAAATCAAGTAGAAGGGTATTGGTCTCGTCTTAAACAATACCTAAGACGACTTGGAGTGATGAGCTCTCCATTTCTACCGGAACACATCGACCAATTTATGTGGGATGCATTATATGGACACAATACTCATGATAGGTTTAAGAACATAGTAGATTGCATTAGACAGAGGTATAACTAGTTTATATATATATATATATATATATATATATATATATATATACAAAGAGATACATAATATAAATATATACATATACATATATATATATATATATATATATATATATATATATATATATATATATATATATATATATATATATATATATATCAAAGTATAGTATGATATGTTTTTTTAGATTAGGTTGAATTAGATTAGCTTAGGTCAGATTGATTTATAGTTAATTAGTTACGTAAATTTTCCTTCATGAGCAGCTATATATCCTAGTAACTCCCGTAGGGCGTTGATTAGCCCTGCTTTATAGGAGCAGTATACCCACTAATATATTTTATGTTAATTAGTTTTTTATTTAAGTTTGGTTAGGTTGGGTTGGGTTAGTTTAGGTTAGCATGGGTTAGCTCAGGTTGCGTTAAATTAGGTTAGGTTAGGTTCTCTTCCTGGACCATGAGATGACCTGTTTACGCCCGTAGGGCGTCAGTTTATCTTTCTCCATAGGAGAAATATTATATAGAGGTATTAATCCGCCAATGAACAAGCAGAATTGCTTATAAAGAGTAATAAGAAGAATTTCAGTTCTTTAAAATTTAAGAAAACTTATTTTTTTCTTTAAAAATTGTGTTTAATGATTTTAGTAATTTGCAAAATTTGTTAAATATAATACAGAATTTATTGATCAGTTTTATTTTACATTATTATCTAGTATTTATGTTTAATTCCTGCATTTAGATTATTATTATATTCTAAAATAGTATGCATATAAGTCGATGAGCAAAGTAATAAGTGTTTATAAATGTATATTACGTAAAAAGAAGTATTACCTGCAAAAAATATATCATAAAATTTAAATTATAGAGAATATTCATGATACTATACATTTTTATAGATTTGGAAACGTCGCAATCAGCTCTCAATATGGCCGCCCAAAAAGTGTGAAATTTTCAATTTTCAAAGTCGTTTTTTATTTAAACAAATGGAAATTCCGCAAATTTTATTTTTTGAAATAGCTTAAAATAATGTATATTTTCAAGATTTACAAAAATTTTTCCCAAAAGCGCGTGGAGGATAAATGTACCGGAACCTATTGTCTCTTCTTTATCGTTTATATCATTTAGGAATGTGTCCAACAACTCTGATCCATGAAGCCATATTGAGAATACATCATCTACATACCTCCACCATACTGTGGGTTTTAAATTTTGTTTAGAAATGATATTTGTTTCAAAATCTTCCATAAATATATATTAGAATTGGGAAGTAGAAGGACAAGAAAGAGAAAGTTAAGACTGAGAAATAAATGTAAATAAAGAAATAAGAAGGAATAAGGGGAAAACTATTGAAGAAGTAAAAATGATGAAAAAAAAAATAGAAATACATAGAAAAAATGGGTAATGGAATAATCGAAAACCCAATCCGATGTCTAAGAAAGCAATAGAATATGGGAAAAGAAGACTAATTATATAATAAAAATACATAATTTAAATGCTTACAGCTTGTAGATGAATATGTGTATATGATTTATATGTTTTGATAAACTTACTAACCTTTTTATCCAAATTATAATCAAAACTGTCTGGATCATCGTTAATACCATCTGAATTACATTGTACATAATCCCAACAAAAACCACTTGGAGCATAAGGGCTGCCCATGATACTGGTAAAAATATTGCTCTTCTCTGAAATTATAAAAATCTTTCTTGAATAATACGTTACATTAATCTTTCTCATTAGAAGAATAAAAACTCATTTTTTGCCATAGTAGAGTATCCATCGAGGTGTCACGTTGTCTTCACGTTTTATTGGTAATCATATTAGATTTTGTGATTCTTAGATGCGATTTTTGTCAAATTTGCAATCAGTTATGTAGTAATTATTATGTTAAGTAGCAAAATAAATACAAAAATACAACTTTAAAAAACAATAATACGCCCATTCCTAACATATGGGTCAGAAACCTGGACTTTAACAAAAAGCAATGAAAACATGTTAGGATGTTTCGAATGAAAAGTACTAAGGCAAATCTATAGAGCAGTGAATAACAATGAAGTGTAAAGAACATCGTAAAAGATATTAAGATAAGAGGAAGAGAACGTCTTGTAACGAGGTGGATAGGACATACAATGCGGATGGAACAAAATAACCCAGCTAAAACAACGCTCCTTGGTAGACTCATTGCTCAGAGAAGAAGAGAAGGATTCAGAACAAGGTTCCTTAATAAAATCGATAACTACATGAGAAATGTCAAATATAAAGCCAAAATGGTGATGATGCAAAATATATATTTTATAAGAGTGTGTGTAAATTATGTTTATAGTGTGTAGATTATACCTTTGAAATAAGACGTTATCTCAGCTTATGTATTAGACAATTTTTTTCAACCTAGCACCTTCTAGATATTTACAGATATTTGAACATTTATATACACAAATATAATAACAGTTTATACATCAAAAATAGGAAAGGGCAGCTTTGAAGACATAGTTGGACCCTATGGTCTTGGAACAAGGAACCAAAGGGGCGACCGACTTATACAATTTTGTCAAGAAGAAAACATGAGAGTTACCAACACATGGTTCCAACTCCACCCCCGTCGCCTATATACTTGGAAATCTCCAGCCGATAGAGCTCATAACATAATAAGAAACCAGATAGACTTCATTCTTATAAACGGTAGATTCAGCACAACTGTCAAAAGAGCTTGCACATACCCTGGAGCAGATGTCCCTTCTGACCACGTACTATTAGTGGCCGTCATAAAGATCGCTCTTTCATGCAAGAACAAGCCTGAAACTCAACAACAGATAGCACTAGATAAACTGAAAGACCCAGTGATACAAGCAAAAATAAGCAATGAAATAAACGCACAAATTCAAATATTAACGACAAACATTACCGAAGATATAACACCAACATGGAATACGATTACAAGTGCTGTAACAGACATCATGAAAAACAACTTAGGGTACAAACGAAATAACAAGAAGCAAAAATGGATGACAGAAGAAATACTATTTCTAATGGAAGAACGACGAAGACACAAGAATAACCAAGATGGCAGCAATATGTATGAAAACATTAACAGGCAAATAAAAGCAAAAATAAGAATAGCAAAAAATGAATGGCTTAAGCAACAATGTATCGATCTAGAACATTTACAAAGACAACACGACGACCGTAATTTACATAAAAAGCTTAAGGAGACTGCTGGAATATACAGAAAACGAAAACCAACTACCATAGTTAATCAGGATAACCAGATAGTGCTGGGTGAAAAGGAGAAAATTGATATATGGGAAAATTATATCCAGGAGCTCTTCCATGACGAAAGACCCATGAGTGAAGTTTATACAGACGACCAGCTGACTGGCCCTTCAATCACCAAAGAGGAGATAGAAAAAGCAATATTAAATTCAAAAAACAATAAGGCACCTGGACCAGATGAGATCCCGTCAGAAATACTCAAATTACTAGATGAAAGGGGAATTTCAGCACTACACAAAATATTTAATTTAATTTATGAAACTGGCTGCTATCCTCAACAGTGGTTACGCTCTACCTTTATTCCCCTGCCCAAGAAAGTCAATGCAAAAAGATGTGAGGATCACAGACTCATTAGCCTGATGAGTCACACTTTAAAGATATTCTTAAAAATACTACATCAAAGATTATACAAAAAATGTGAATGGGTCATCAGTGATTCACAGTTCGGGTTTAGGCAAGGTTTAGGAACACGAGAAGCAATAGTAGCAACACAGGTATTGGTCCAAAATTGTTACGATCAGAGGAAGGATGTGTTCCTATGCTTTTTAGATTACAAAAAAGCGTTTGATCGTGTCCAACACCACAAGTTAATGCAGATTCTCAAGAAAGTTGATATAGACCAAAAAGACATAAGATGCATTGAAAACTTGTACTGGCATCAAACGGCACAGCTAAAAATAGACAATTCTATATCTAAGCACATACATATAAGAAGAGGCGTTCGACAGGGATGTGTGCTTTCCCCTCTTTTATTTAACATTTATTCAGAAGCCATATTTCAAGAGTCTTTGGAGGATGCAGAGATGGGAATCAAGGTGAATGGAGTATAAGTATAAGTAATCTTATGTAACAACATAAGATATGCTGATGATGGTGTCTTAATTTGTGACAACATAGTCGATCTTCAACAACTTGTCACTATAATCGGAGAATACAGTGAGCGAATGGGACTAGAGATTAATACCAAAAAGACCAAATTCATGATCATCTCCAGAAACTTGGATGCATTTGAAAACTCCACCATAACACTGAATAGTAAATCCATAGAAAGAGTGAGTAAATTTAAATACCTGGGATCGTGGCTTTTTGAAGACTGGGCATCGGACAGGAAAGTAAAATGTCGCATTGAGCAAGCTCGACAAGCTTTCGTAAAATTCAAGAAGGTACTGACTTGTTCTGAGTTCGATCTTCAACTGTGACTAAGGTTTACTAAGTGCTACGTATGGTCAGTGCTGCTATATGGCGTAGAGGGCTGGACACTCAAAACGAGGGATATAAACAGATTGGAAGCTTTCGAAATGTGGCTTTATCGCCGTATCCTAAAAATACCATGGACAGCGAAAATCACAAATATAGATGTCCTTAAAAGAATAAACCAAGAACGCCAACTTTTCGAAACCATCAAGAAAAGGAAAACGGCGTATCTAGGTCACATCATGCGAAATGAAAAATACCAGTTCCTCCAACTTATAATCGAGGGTAAAATTGAAGGCAAGAGAGGAATGGGACGCAAGAAAATGTCCTGGCTCCGAAACATAAGGCAATGGACAGGGATTAACGACATACAATCTCTGATACATATTGCAAGAAATAGAGAGTTAATGGAAAATGTGATCGCTAACATCCATTAGTGGATTTGCATCTGAAGAAGAAGATACATCAACCCTTCATTAGGCGCGCAACCTGCCCGAACGCCGTTACTCGGGGTAGGTCCAATGAACCTATGATTAACTATTTGATTAGTAACTGATTTTTTTTTAATATGTTCGTTATTATTTGAATATTACAAAATAGTAAGTGAAAAAATAACAGAAACTCGTGTATTATATTTATTAAGAGACTTAATCTTTATCTTATTAATATTTATTAAAACTATAGCATTTCAAATCACCCTGTATGTATTAAAACGCCGAAGAATATTTTCAATGTATTTTTGTTTCCTATCGTATTTGCTAAAACACCGAAAAAGTATTTTCAATCCTTTCGCATAACTGGAATTGATAATAAACACATTTTAAAGTTTGTTTGTATATCACAGATGCGTCTTTCCTTGGTATTCCTTTGATCGAAGCCGCTTTGGAATATTTTGGGCGTAAAATAAATAGGAATATAAAATGTTTTGTTTATACTGAGTTGGGCGAATGAATTTTAAAGATAATTACATCACTCTCAGTGAAGCCGCTGTCAAAGGCAGTTGGTTTCAGTGTTGGTTCGAATTGTTATCTAAATCGTAATGGATTTTCGTTTTTCATCTATTTTTATGGGAAAATGTGTAGTGTTGTGGCAATTAATAGTTACAGTTGAAGAGAGGTTTGGAATAAATTTTATGGAGAGTGACGCGGCGTGGTTCGGCGTTAAGAAACTGGAAAATTTGTAAACTCAAATGTAATGTGTGAGTTCTTGAAAGAGTAATCACTGTTTTGTTTTATGCCGTCTCTCATCTACCGTCTATCAACTTTGAAAGATGCCTACAGGGTTCCATTTTGTCTGAGTTTTAAGAAGCCAAGTTTCAAAGTCCCAGTGCCCAGTTTCCAGCCTCATTTTGTTTGTCCTAAGTCATTTCAGGCTATTTCGCAGTGTGAGATGCAGTTTTATTGCGTTGCAATAAATTCGAGTGCAGTTCCAAATCAGAAATTTTAAAGGAAAAAAAAATAACATTTAGTGAAATTCAGGTAACTTTTTTGTTAAACTTTTAAAGTAAAAATAGACATTTTTCATCATGCTTTCATAACAAGTTGAGAAATTGTAATAGGTAAAATTATAAATGTTAGGGTGTGGCAAAGTTGTCATATTAATTATTCTCAAAGTTTTTGACATTTGGTACATACCCAATTATAAATTTAGAACTTGTTTTGCTTTGTCTAAAAAAAAGGTTAATCTCTATGCATAGTTCCATTTGAAAAGATTTTTTTTATTACAAAAGGAGTTTGTAAAGCGATAGTAACATAGTAAATTTGTTTTAATTCTTTTGTACTACTATTTATTTTTGTAACTGTTTCTGTGAGACAACAACAAATATGTAATTTTTCCCTAAAAAAGAGTTTTATTTTTTTTTTAAACGTTTCTAACCCTTTTTTATATATTTTAGAAAGGAAGAGCCTTTCTTTCATCCAGAAGGAAGATTCTTCTAAGCGACTTTCTTATCTTAAATAGCCTAAGAAGTTTTTTGTATTGTGTTTGTCCAGAACATTCATGTAAGTACCCCTTTTTGTTTAGTTTTTGTAGTTACCTCATTCCAGTCCCCTTTTCATTCACGTATCGACGACCCAGATCTCCAGCAAACCCTGAGTCTTCTTCTTCTTCAGATGCAAATCCACTAATGGATGTTAGCGATCACATTTTCCATTAATTCTCTATTTCTTGCAATATGTATCAGATATTGTATGTCGTTAATCCCTGTCCATTGCCTTATGTTTCGGAGCCAGGACATTTTCTTGCGTCCCATTCCTCTCTTGCCTTCAATTTTCCCCTTGATTATAAGTTGGAGGAACTTGTATTTTTCAATTCGCATGATATGACCTAGATACGCCATTTTCCTTTTCTTGATGGTTTCGAAAAGTTGGCCCTGAGTAGCCGTTCGCAAACGTTTTGGTTTGTTTTGCTTACCCTATCTCCACCTCAATGATTTTTGTCCCCAATTTTTAACCCTTTATAGTAATACGCTTTTTTTCTTTGCGCTGTTTCCTTGCTTCTTTGTAACAAGGTGCACAGTGTTTTATTTTGACATCTGTTTAAACTATTTGCTGCTTGATACCTTCCACGTGTCTCTTCTTGTTCAGGTTTATAAGGTTTTGGAAGAGTTTGAAGTTTAGTCTGCTAAACTTTCTGCCAAATTTTTTAAAAAGATCCAAAGATCCGCCCAGTAATATATACTAGGCCCATTTCTCAAATAAATAATTATGGAGTTAATTCCTGCTACATGTTCTCGTAGATCGAGCTATATCGATAAATAGCTGTATAAATAGCACATAATTCAAATAATCAGTATTTCTTAGGGACTTCAAAAAGAAAAACATACAGTATTGGAAGATTTAAAACGGAACATACGGATTATTAATACAATTAGTAAGATCCTTCTTCTTCTTCTTCTCGTGCCACTCCTAGCGGAGATTGGAAATCATCATGGCCACTGCGACTTTGTTAGCAGCGCGCCTGAAAAGTTCAATCGAACTACACCCGAACCATTCACGTAGATTACGAAGCCACGATATTTTTCTTCTTCCCACACTTCTTTTGCCCTTAATTTTGCCCTGCATGATGTTTCTTAAAAGTTCGTACTTTTCACTTCTCACAATGTGCCCCAAGTATTCCATCTTTCTAGTTTTTATCTCATTAAGAATTTCGCATCTTTTGTCTAAAGTTTGGAGTACTTGCGTGTTAGTGACGCGGTCCATCCATGATATTCTGTAGTAAGATCCCCTGACCTGCAATTACCCAGTGTAAATTTTAATATAACGTCGCGATGTCTTATAATTAATCCATTTGTTCGACTGGATTGCTACTCCTTCGCGATTTCTAGTAGCGTATTCGGCAGGTGTACGTCCACACTGTTGTCTATCGTCCACTGATTTTCTGTGTTTTTGTGAAGATAATAACAATGTTTTAATAATAACAATTTTTTTGAGTTCATTAGCTATTATTTAAATTGGTTAGTATATAGTTTAATATATTTATTATTTCAAATATTGTTGATAATTTAAAATTTAAAAGGATGTATATGATACATCAAAATCTACAGATTTTTGCCAAAGGTATCTACCGATTTGGCAACAGTCCCAAGGAACATCACTGGCCAAGCAAAACAAATACATGCCCTTTGCTTTGCTTCTCATTATAACGCCATAAGCTGAAATAAAAGTAGTGTTTCTAACAATAAACCATGTATACAAACAAAGAAAAAGTACAAATTTTAAAATGGTATTTTGGGGGCAACTCGTACCGTGATATTATAAATTTATTTACTTGTGCCTATGAAGATAGGCCAATATCGACACAATCAACTATTAGTCGTATTATTAAAAAATTTGAATCGTTTGGTTGTGTAAAAAAGTGTGAAAAATGTACGGATCTACCACGAGAAAAAATAATCAACGAAGTTAGGCAAAATAGGGAAATTGATGTCTGTAGTGTTGATAAAACTAGTGATCCTTGTTCAAGCAAAACTATTGCTGAAGAAGTTGACATGAATGATACGACTGTCAGGGATATTTTGAAACGGAATGATTATCGTTGTTTTAAAGTTTCAATAACTTAAGAGTTATTAGCCGAGGACAATTTCAAGCGTATGGAATTTTGTGAACTGATGATGAATAAACAAAATGAAAGTAAACATTTTTTAAAAAACATTTTGTTTACCGATGAATCGACATTTTCGTTACATCGGAAACATAATCCTTCTATCGTAAGATATTGGTCTCGGCATAATAAACACTTGAGTATTCCAGTACGAACACAGTATCCCCAAAAACTTAATGTTTGGACAGGTATTTTGGGGGATTATATCGTCGGTCCATTTTTTATTGATGGTAATTTAACGGGAAATAAATATTTAGAATTGTTGCAAAATCAATTTATTCCAGCAGTTCAATTACTTCCTGTCAACTTTGACGATATTTGGTTCCAGCAAGACGGCTGTCCTGCTCACAATACACGAGCAGTTCAAAATTATTTAGAAACCATTTTTGGAAATAAATTAATTTCTTCTCGTGGTACGATCAAGTGGCCTCCCAGATCACCAGACTTATCCCCAAATGATTTTTTTCTTTGGGGATATTTAAAAACAAGTGTTTATCGACATGGTTTTAAAAGAGTCCGAAATTTAGCGGAATTGAGGGACAAAATAATTCATCTTTGTGGAAGCTCAGGGTCATTAGACCGCAACTGCTCAGGGATATGAGACTATCTTTGTACAACAGATTTGGTTATTGCTCCGCAGAGAGAGGTGGAATATTTGAACCTCTATTACGTTGAATTTTTGTTTTTAATATTATTATGTTACTTTTGGAATTCGTTTTTATTTTAATTTTTAGAAATCTACTTTATTTTAATTTTTAGAAATCTACTTTTTTTATGCCATTATGGCAATAAAATATAACAATTTCTTTTATTAAAATAATATTTTAATTCCATATCTACGTAATATTGTAGATTTTTGGCGCTTTGAGATATAGCCTCTCCTGTATTCCCTTTTATACTAGCGATTATTATTATTCGATGATCATTTGTGTTTGGTAAGGTGCGCACGTGCGCAGCAGTCGAAAAATATCGACTGGAGAAGGAGTCCAGACGAACAAATGAATTAATTATAAGACATCGCTATGTTATATTGAAATTTACACTGGGTAGTTGCAGGTCAGGGGATCTTACTAATTGTATTAATAATCCGTATGTTCCGTTTTAAATCTTCGAATACTGTATACAGAACGATCCATTTAAAATAAGAAAGTTCATTAGATTTTTAGAAACAAGCGAGATTTGACAACAATGTAAATACCACCATAATATTGGCCGCATTGAAAGAGCCTTACGAACTAAGATTTATAAAAATCCTGCACAATGTTTCCGAGATAATTAAGCGTTCCTCATTTTAAGTTCACCCTGTAGATTGAAAATAAAGAGAAAAACAAAAACAGTGTATAAAAAAGTATTTTAAAAAGATAGATTTGTGGGTACTTTAAAACATACTCTACAATGATTTTAAGACGCGATATTTTTACACCCTAAAATCACTATTATTTCGCTCATTCGATTTTTGAATCGGATGGCGGCACAATTTTTTCTTCAAAAATGGCTTCAAGACTGTACCCCCAAATTTCAAAATCAATGTTTTTGCCATCAAGAAAACGTTTATTTTCAGTGGAAGGAATTCGACATATTCCTATATATCTACTTTGAATTCGACATATACCTACTACCCAATACTTAATATTGTTCTGAAGCTATTTTCGTGTGGCATTTTAAATTAATTACTATTTAACTGGGAATAAGCCACAATTAAAGATAAAAATATGTTTATTGACGTTTCAATTTCCACTTCGGAAATCGTTCTCAGGAGAACGATTTCCGAAGTGGAAATTGAAACGTCAATAAACGTATTTTTATCTTTAATTGTGGCTTATTCCCAGTTAAATAGTAATGAATTTACCCAATACTTATTTCAATATTTATTATTAATCATAAAAGTTTAAGTTAATAATAAACAATTTAACGAAACAAATAACTTACCAAAATTATCGTTGGTGGTCCACATAAATTCAAGATTATGGCTTATGTTCAAAGTGGCCCTTTTGTCGTCACTAATATGAGTAAAGAAAATACCGTTGTAATCCATTTGCTGAAATATGGAAGCCTGCTCTCTGCTATGACCGAATGTACCGATCTGCCAACCAATTTTGGGACGACCGCATTCGCCCAAAGTGTCATTAAGTATTCTGAAATGTTACAAAGAACTAAGATTTACTAAATTAACTATACTGCTATGAAAAAACTGGAGAACATTGTTTGTAATAACGGCAAAAATGTACTCAGTAGAGTCTATAATCTACAGCTGGTTCCTAAAAAAACTGATACGATTCTTAAAGTGTATTTTGTAGAAAATTGAGCAGTGTATTTTGAAGGATGAATACTTATTATTTACATACTCTCACTGTCACTATCACATCTTAAAATGTGTCAGATAACTTATTCTGTTTAACTTCAACTAATTGCTCCACATGCTAGCAAAAAATCTAAAGCAAGAATTGTAACGCAATTAGAAGATGGTTGGTTTCTATCTGCCGCAGCGAACCATTTTAACGTAAGCAGAACAACAGTTTGGAAAGTGATAAAGAGTCTGAAATAAAACACACAGGAAAAAAGACATTTTACTTTCATAAGCAGAGAACAATGGAATGATTACTACCAAGAACTCCTGACAGAAAAGCGAACAAAATTCGTGGAAAAAGATCAACAAACAATAAATACAAAGAAACAACTAAATTTATCATTGGAAGAAGTAAAAAAGAATATAAAACAAATAAAAAATAATAAGTCTGCAGGCCCGGAGGGATAGCACCGGAGCTAATTAAATATGGCTCTGAAAAATTGTTCCGTATGACACATACCATGTTTCAGAGAGCCGATAGAGCAGAGAGAGGATCGAAGAAAATATGAAAATTACAAAGGCTTAAACATTTTACCATCTGTAGGAAGATTATATGGAAAAATAATAAAGGAAAAAATAGAAAAACAAATGCAAAATAAAATAGAGGACGACCAGGCAGGTTTTACAGCTGGGAAATCATGTGTTGACCACATCTACACTATACAACAGCTAATAGAGAAGAAGATGGCACAGAACAGATCAGTCCATCTAGCCTTTATTGACCTAAAAAAGGCATACAACTCTGTACCCAGACAACGACTGTGGGAAGTCATGCAACAAATAGGAACAGAAGATAATCTGATCCATGTAGTGAAGACCATGTACACACATAATAATGATACACTCAAGGTAGGTAACAAGTTTGGAAAACGATTTAAAACCACGGGTCTCCTACAGGGCTGCTGCTCGACTTCACCTACACTCTTTTAAATATTTCTTCAATACGCCCTAAAGCCATGGAAAAGGAAATGTGAGGGAATGGGAGTACCCATAAGGAACGACCATCTGTATACCCTCAGTTTTGCCGACGATCAGGACATAATAGCACAAGACGAGGAAGATCTAAGTTATATGGTTCGAAAACTATGTATGTATGTACAGCGTTAACAGGCCTTTAAGGCCCATTGCTGGATGGATAATTTCCATCGTTTTCTATTCATAGCTAACCGCTTCCAATCTCTGATGCTCATCTCTCTGACATCTTCCATCACTATATCTCTCCATTTCTTTCTTGGTCTTCCTCTCTTTTTTTGCCCTCAGGTACTCTCCAAGTAATATTCTTGACTAGTGTATCACCTTGCATTCTTTCTAGATGACCGAGCCATTCTAGTCTACGTTTTTTCACCACTTTTGTTATTGTAGGGTTAGCATACAAAGGATACACTTCTGCATTAGTTCGTTTCTCCATTCTCCCTCTACTAATTTTTCACCAAATATTCTGCAAAGTATCTTTCTTTCCCATGCTTCCAATGTATTCTGTATGGTTTTGTTCATAGTCCATGTCTCAGTAGCGTATAGCATTGTGGGTCTAATTATAGTTTTGTATACTCTTATTTTTGTATTACGAGATATATCTTTGGCCTTAATTATTCTGCTCATGGCTCCAGCACACCTGTTGCTCTTGGTCAGTCTCAGGTTGATTTCAATTTCTTCCTTACATGTCTGATCAATAAGAGTACCTAAGTACATATATTCATCCACCTTGTCGAATTCTACAGCTGATCTATCCTCCATCTCCAATTGGTTCGAAAACTAAAAGAAGAATATAATATAAATGACCTGGAAATAAACATTAACAAAACAGAATATCTGAATACAACACAAGAACCAACAAGAAACCTGGAAGTTGATGACGGGCGTGAAATAAAGCGGACCGATAAATTCAAATACCTGGGGTTCATTATATTCATTATATCAAATAAAGGTACTACAGAAGAAGAAATTCAAAATCGAGTAGTCAAACCAGAAACTCTATAAGACAACTGAATCGAATCCTATGGGACAGATACATAACAAAAAATAGCAAAAAAAGATTTTATAACACGATCATTCGCAGCATTCTAACATATGAAGCAGAAAATTGGATCCTAAACAAAAGCAGCAGAAACAAAATAAACGCCACAGAAATGGACTACTGGAGAAGAAGCTGCAGAGTTTCCAGAATGGACAAAATAACTAACGACGAAATCAAAAGACGAATAGAGATAAACAAGGACACCTTAAATTACATTGAAGAAAAAAGATTAACGTGGTACGGACATGTCAGACGAACAGATCCAAACCAATGGATAGCAACAATAATAGAGTGTAGCCCCATAAGAAAAAGCAAAAGAGGCAGACCAAGAAGATCTTTCAGAGATGAGGTAGATGAAGCCATGGTGGAAAGAACAGGATTGGAAGACGGAGAATGGGAGGATAAAGAAAAATGGAGAAAATGGTTGAGAGAAGGGAGACAGCGACAGCTGTAGAAACCCCTTTCATATATATAGAACAACAGTTTTTAATATTAATAAAAGATGGACAGAAAAGTTTTTGAACGAAGAGGGCCGATCGGACAACGAAGAAGAAGAAGACCAAGACTTAGGTACCAAGACAACCTAGAAAATGATTTGAAGTCTATCGGAATAAGAGCATGGAGAAGAGTTGCCAGAGACAGGGGTGAATGGAGGATTGTTCTGAAGAAGGCTTTGGCTCATAAAGAGCTGTAACGCCACTGATGATGATGAAAGATGGACAGAACAAGAAACTTTCGAAAGAAAGCAAGGTTTTGGAAGACTAAACATATCTATCGCTCACAAATATCGTTAGCTTTTGGAGAGATTAGAAGAGAAACCTTTTGAAGAAGCAATCAAGACTTATATTTGTTTTAAACTATTAGCTACAAAATTTTAGCGCCAATGTATAAGGATAGATTTTATCTAGATTTTTTCGTATTGATGGCAGATTTGTTAGTCAGACTTATCTGAATATTCTAGAAAACATCATATTTTCCAGTGTATCCTGAAAATACTTTTATCCTCCAACAAGATAATTATTCTGTTTATACTGCAAATATAATACACCAGTGCATCCAGAATAACAACATCGAAACCTTACCATTGCCCAGTTACAGTCCAGATTTAAAGTCAATCAAAAATGTGTCTGGGGTTATTATAAAACGGTTGTATCGGCGTAATTTTATACCTTAAAATGCTAAAGAGCTGTAGGACGGTATACAACAGGTTTAAGAATAGGTCTCTGAAGAAGACAATTTGATAGTTCCTTTCACACAAATGGATTGATGGCTACAAGCTGTTATCAATACTAATGGAGATATTACAAAATGTTAATTTTATTTTAACATACCTAAATTTAGTATAGTTTTGGTCTTCCAGACCCTCGAAGAAAAACTGTGATTCCGCTTATGTTAAAATGTTTTGCTGCCTCTAATAGTGCCCAGTTATCTTTTTATTTGGTTACAATTCTTGCTTTAATATATTATTACAATTTATGAATTAACATATGTTATCAATTGTTTGTTGTTTGTTTATTTTATTATTTGTCTGTCATAATAAATATAATATACTGTCTGACCAATCAAATACACTTTTCAAAATGATCAAATCTTACTAAGAGGCGTATCAGTTTAAACTTTATATTAAAAAATATATTAAAAATATATTATACTAAAAAATAATTTAAAATAGTTACCTAAGACCCCAAGTCAACTGATTAATCGTAGACTGATAGTTTACACAAGCCTCATCATTCACTGACCATCCTCCGCCAACCATTTCAATTTTGCCAGTGTCTACAAAATTCTTGAAAATCTGCCTCTTGTTTTCAGGTTGGATTTGCCACCATTTCCAAAAATATAATGTCTCAGCTTGTATAAATCTGAAACAATTTTTTAACTTTAGAGAGTTGTTGTACTGTTCCGATCTTAAATATCATTTATTCCTAGCCATTTATTGTACATATCTTTTTTTATCCCCACAAGATTTTCTATTTCTTTGTTACACAATTCCTTTCTGTCATTTCCCCATGCAATAGGAGGACAGAGTCGTGTCTACGTAAAAAAAAAGAAGAAAAAGAAGACCATTCATTTCTATTCGAACGCTCTTACAGTAAATACGAACGAAGTCTATTTGACTACGAAGCATTTACCAGAGGGTGTAGGAGCCGGAGTAGCAATTGTTGGTCATTCTTTTAAAGTTTAATAAACAAAGTTTAATAGTAAACTTGTCAGCTCACGAGAGAAACTGTCGACTCAGAGTGGACATTTCCTGCCTGGGCGAGCATCGATCTTTGAGATAGGCGACAGTTTGCCTTATACGTGTCTTAGATCTTGCCGAACTGGCACAGTGTTCCACTGGACCACCGACGGTTAGGAGTGAATAAGAGACTTAACTTACAGAGCGCACTAACTAACCTCGAGTTTTAACCTTGTTTAGGCTTACGCCTCTTCAAGGAACGGGGAACTCCTTTTTTTTTGACGGAGTTGTAGGGGTTACGAGAAAAAACGTCAACTGTTCGAAACGCAGCCTAAGAAGCAGAGAACCGCTAAGGAAAGAAGGGGAAAAGAAGGTGGCTTATTTTGTGATCGATAAGAATCGTGAACGCACAAGAAGAAGTGGGATTGCCTAGCATGCAGTGAGATACTTAAGGGTTACCAGCCATACAGTAGGAACGGCTCTTTATCAGGGTTTTTGGTGCGCAGTTTATCTGCGATAGTAGATGGGGAAAGATTCTAAAATATCAAAATACTCCTCAGGAAGTTCAGGTCCAGCGTTGTGTAGAAGTTTAGCTGGAGGGAATGAAACTTTGTTAGCTGGATGCCTGGTGAGTATTTGCCCTCTATGTGAACAAGGTGTCTTCAATGTTTGTTTTGCTCGGTTGTTCGAGCCAGCTATGGTTCTTAAGACATACTTCCTACTGAGGGTTAGGATTCTGTCCTTGATAGGCGTGATGTTAGCTATTGCATATATGTGGGCCGATGGATACACCCAGTCTTTTCTCATGCAGAAACGTAGTATTCTACGCTCTGTGGCGGTGATGGCATTGAGTTCGTGGTTCCTCAGGGAGAGGTAAACGCATGCCTTGTATTCGATAATCGGTCTGATGAAAGTCTTGTAGGTGTGCAACAATGTGTTAGTGGACGTTCCTCCTAGTTTACCGGCCAACACTTTCAGGAGGTTGAGCCTCTTTCTCATCCTGTCAAGGGAATCTTGGACGTCAGCCTTCCAATTGAGAGTTCTCGTAAAACGAACTCTCAAGTAGAGAACTGAGTTCCTGAGAATAAGGTCCTCTCCCAAAAGTGTCACCCGGCTCTGAAGGCCGCGTCCGTAAGGGGGTCTAAATAGGATTGCTTGTGTTTTGGAGGGGTTTAAAGTAACCCTCCATTTGTTGCACCACCTCACGACTCTGTCAAGATAATCTTGCGACTTCTCGAATACAGACCGTCGCTCTCCTTCCCTGTAGGAGCCTGAGGTAAGAATGGCTGTATCATCAGCGAATAGGAGAAGAGACTCTGATCCTTGCTGTGGGCGGGGGATGTCGCTATTGTAAACTGTGTATAATATTGGAGCAAGTATTGAGCCTTGGGGACTCCTGCTTGAGGAGTGAATGGAGTGGAGAGGTGCTCTCCTATTTTGATCTGAACCGTCCGATGAGAGAGATAGGAATTTATTAGTTTAACGAAAGGTGATGGCAGTCCAGCAAGGTGGAGTTTCTCGATCAAGCCTGCGTGCCAGACTTGATCGAAAGCCTTCTAGACATCGAGGAAAATGCCTACGACGTGCTTCCTTTCGTTAATGGATTATGAAATGAAAATTGTTGCTTCAACCAATGCATTTTGTGTGGAGTGTCCAGCCCTGAATCCGAATTGGTAATTTGGAATGAGGAAGTGAGCGTCTAGGGATTCTACGACTCTCTCTGAGGATCCTGTCGTAGACTTTACCTAGGGTGCTCAGTAACGAAATTGGTCTATATGATTCAGGGTTGGTGAGGGTTTTCCCTTTTTTAGGGACCATGACGGTGCTGGCCACTTTCCAAGGAATAGGAAAGTATCTCAGCGCAAGAGATGCATTGATTATATTGGTGAGCAACGGGATAATATTCTGTGGAAGATTTGCATAAGATTGTTTTCGATGGATGTGATGTGTAAGACACCAACACCAGAGTCACCACTCCGACAGTGTTCTGACATATCTTGTGGGGTGGGTACCCGACCACATGTCGAAATGTAAAGGGTTAGCATCTATGTGAAACCTAGGGTGTACAACGCAATTAGAATACTCGTATTTAGTGCATGTAAGAAAATAATACACCATCAAGTGGAACTGTTAAAGTATTCCTAATTGCCGATGGTCTTTCGAGGACTAAAGTGAACTTCATGTGAAGTGTGGTACGGGTACACACCATTGCCACGAGATCGAGGATGGAGTTGAAAATCCTTCGATCCTTTTCTAGAGCGGAGGCCGCAGATCATCCAGATACGGAGAATACCTCCGTGGATGCTACGGCCGTACGATACATAAATACGTTAAAATAAGATTTGATCCCTAACGGTTATGTATAAAACTAAGTATTGTGCCATATATGACCCACTATGTGGTAAGGGATAATCTTAACGGCGAGTACAATTATATTAATTTCTATTATGGTTGTAGAGAATTAAAATAGAGTCAGGATTTTTTTATTTTCTTTGTTTTAATATTTTTATCTACAAAGAATAGAAAATATGGCATATCTGTTTTTTGTACAACGTAAGATGACGATTTGAAAAATATTTGTAAGTGATAGTGAAAATCCGATGGCAGCTTGAGAATAAACCCGGCAAACGAATTCTAAAACACCTTTCATCTCTTAAAATCGCAGCACTGTGTTATGAGTTAACATGTATCGCTTACCTACGATCTTCATTTTGCGTTAGAGCTTGCAAAACAGAATCTAAAACATATTGAGCGCCTCCATTTTGTATATCATTGTGTTCTGAAAACAAAAATTAAATTTTTATCTTGCTTTTATTTAAAATTACACTTACCTCCATAAAAGTAGTCCTCAGCTGTTTTTAGCCAACCTAGATCATTGTGGGAATGTGCAATCAAATGAACATTTATTTTTGAGGAATTTGTTGTAGCACATGCCTAAAAACAGATAAATTATTTAACAAAAAAAAAATGGTTAGTATGTTTTTGTCTTCACTATCAAGTTTAGTAGGTACAACCCTTTCGAGTCTGACAGGACGTATTTATCCAGGTCATCCCAGTAACCGACTTTTTAAGAATTTTAAAAGAATAATTTGTGTAACCATGCATAAATCAAGATTCAAAAATATAGTAAACCAGATGGGTAGAGTTTATAACTCAGAATCACACTCCAATATGGACTGCCTCACGGATTCTGGGGGAGGCAGAAGATCGAGAATACATGACAATAATAAACAAATTAATTCTTAAAAATTTAAAATTGCTACATACAACATTAGAACTATGAGAACGAACGAACACCTAGAAGAATTAGAGCAGGAACTAGGGGCTATTAAATGGGATATTGTAAGTTTATGTAAAACGAGACTTCAAGGAGAGGAAAAGACCACCCTAAAATCTGGGCACACTCTATACCAATATAATTCAGAAGAGAACTACGGCCAAGAAGGTGTGATTTTCATGGTTAACCGAAGAGTATAACACCAGGTTGTGAAATATTCACCTGTGTCGGAAAGAGTGATATATCTTGTATTAAAACTGAATAAACGATATAGCTTACAGATAATACACTGCTATGCTCCAACTTTCACTGTGGATGACGAGTCAATAGAACAACTCTACGAAGATGCTAGCTAAAGATAATGTTACGATGATGTTACGACGACGCTACGATGTTGTCATCACCGGAGATTTTAATGTAAAAATACCTAAGAAATTGGCAATTTTATTTTCGCTACTGTCAGTTAGTAGATCTTTCTTAAATAAGCCCAAATAAAGGAAATATTTTTAAAGTCCGAACTTAAACCCTTACGAAAACCGTGTCTTAAAATTGTAATGTTAATGTCCTGTCATATTTTCTACATGTCCTTCTTATAATAAAATTTCGTACAGAAGAATGTATGTAGATTCATTTTTGAAATTAGTATTACAATACTAATTATTATATTGTAAAATATTAAATAACTGTTTTTTAAGTTAGGTTAAATTTTTTTTTACGAAATATAAAATATTATATTTATATTTTTTAAAAAGTTGTTTACTATTAACTACTAACTGTTTAAATTCGAAAATTATTTACTGTAAATTACTAGTAATTTTAAAAATAACATTTTTTATACATAACTCCAAAAAATGTACTACGAAATGTAAGGATTAAACATAATTTAGGCTTTAATTAAAATATGAACGCTTTGGCTTATTGCAACTCTGTACAACAGATCTTCAACTTCCTATCACGTGCATAAGCGTGTTTATGTTTTGCTGCCGCTCATCTTGAAAACGGATAGACCTTATAACTACATTCGAACTGTTCACATAGTTTACAACTTATGGATGAAGGGAAAGAAAAAATAATCATTTCTTATATCTTACCTTTAAAGCACATGATTCGAAGTATTTCGCATTTGTTAATGTTAAACATAATATAAGTAAAATAACAAATATCGATATTTTTGTTTCCATTTTAAAACAGAGTTTGCTTGAACTCTGGAACAAACAACTATACCATACAATAACGGACTAATTAGTAATTTAAGATAAACTGATAAATAATTATGAAATCAAATCGCACCTGTTGAACTAATAACGATAGTATGGTTTACAATGATAGAATTTATTGTTTTTTTTTTAATTTCTTAGATATGCATATTAATTGAAGTAGTTATCTCAAAAATTAAAATAAAATTTAAATACAAAATTCCTTTGCTTTATTATCATGTTTTTTACAGACAAACTTGATAGTCATTACTTCACTGCATTAAATTATTCTTATCAATGATATTATCTTTCTCTGTGTCCAACAGACCTCTAGAGATATTAAGAAACGTTGAAAGGCCTTAATCTCAATGAAAGAAAAATCTACTCCGAACTCCTACCCACTAAACCATACCCTCGTCTGTCATCCAGCGACCCAGATGTGGAATGGCCGCTGTAAGGCCGGCATCACTTCCAAAGTACTACCTTCCTTCATTTTTTCTCCATTCATCCACATCCATACTCCATTCATCAGCAAGGAAGCTCCCTGTCCCGTTCAAGGTAGCGCGTAGAAGACCCTCATCGCTCCTAGGCGGGCATTTCCTTCTTCCCCACAGCCTGACTCACGCCATCTAACTCATACAGTCTGACCCACTTGTTTAGCTTTAAATTCCAGCATTTTTCACTTTTCCCTTTGCCGTTGGTCCAGCTGTATTTCTTCATTTTCTTTGTATGTTAGTCCAACCTGATTTATTTTCAATCATTCCCTCAATCATTTCTCTCACTGTAACAAAATTCACACCCGTCTCTCTCTCTCTCTCCCTCTATCTCTCCATTCTGTTCCTTTCTACTATCCATCTGCTGCAATCTAACATCGTATGTGTCACAGTGTCCGAGTATCCACAGAATAGGCATTCAGCTGTGTCAGCTTTTCTGAACCTAGAGAGGTAGGCCCTAAAACACCCGTGTCCTGTGAGCACCGGCGTCAGAAAATAATCCAGTCGCCTGTGGCCACAGTCCACCCAATCTCTCATGTTCGGGATCAGCATTTTCGTCCACTGTGCCACATCCTCCGTGTTGTCCCATTCTTCTTGCCATTTTTCAATTGACCTTTCCCTTTCCTGTCTTCTCTCGGCCCCATTAAGCTTTGGGCCTCTTCTCTCATAGAGCTCTTTTCTTTCCACCGCCAAAACATGCAACGAAACGAATTTTTTTATCGTTAAATTGGCCGATACTGTGTTTCATATACTGCGTTTTAAATAAATATTCCCGTTAAGTGTCTTACTTATTTTAACTTGCGCGATGAATTTTAGAAGATAATTGCTCATTCTCACTTGAGTCGCTGTGAGAGATAGTCGGATTAGGTGTGGATCCAAATTTATTCGCCGAATTTGTAAAGTTTTCTGTTGTAACGTTCCAACGAACATTCATTGGACGTCACTCTGTGACGTGCCAACAAATATTCATTGGGTGCCAATTTGTAACCCTTCGAGGCTCAATTTGTAACATCCCAACGTTGAGCTGCTGTTGTCAACCTGTAACCGCAAACCTTAGTTTGCTGCTACAACCTGACTAACATCACTAACAACGTTGGAGTGACAAATCGTTTCCCGTTGGGACCAATTTTTTAACGTCATAACCCCTAATGTATCAATTGCAAATTGCTACATTAGACGTTATGCGAAACACTCCCTGGCTAGCTCACTCAGGACGTGAATATGGCCTACTCTGGAGCAACACACACAAACAAGTAAAAAGAAGAAACAATACACAGTTAAATTAACACATGTTTATTAAAATATAAAAAAAAAACAGAAAAATAAATGTTAAGTATCGTATTAAATTTAAATAAAAATTATTCGACTTCTTGCTACAGTGTTACATTAGGTATATGAAAGAACAAAGTTTGTCACCAAATCCTAAGTTTTATCTTGGTCTTTTCTGCTCTGGTTTTTAGCAAGCCATATTGTTAGTTTTGGATTTCCTTGTCTCGGAGTCAACTCTCCTATTGGAATAATGGTTCCATTCTCAGGCCGGTTGGTCTTCTGGATGTTAATAGAATTTGACCCGCACCTGAGAAATGTATCCCGGAGGTTGACTAAAATGAAGAAAAACACACCTTGCTTTAGAAAATGGTGAAACCAAAATGAGAGACCTTGCTTGGGGGATGAATAAGGTGACCAATCAAATTTAACAAAATTTTATCATTATTCACCCAAGCAAGTCGAGAAACAATTCTTATTTATGTGCTTATCACAGGCAAATAAGTAAAAGTAAGGATATATATAACTTTAATGCAAATGGTAATTACTTTTTTAAAACTGAAATATTCTAATATTAATTAAAAAAAAATGACAAGATATATTTATTAAAAAGCTAGATAATTTAGAAACATTGCTATATAAAAATGGTAATTTGTCAAAAGTTAATTATTATTAAAATCAAAAAATATTATGGATTTAAAATTCATATTTAAAACTATAAAAATATTCGTAAAACTTTTACATACTATATTAAAGAAACTATATATTTCTTATCGCTAGTTTTTTATATAAAAATAAAAAACATAGAGATATCCAAAAAAATATGTATCTACTTACATGTCATACCATAATCATAAATAATGAGCTTAGAATTTTCAAAGTTAAAATTATAAAAAGATTTTTATACAACAGGTGGAATTAGGAAATCGATAAAATATATTATACACTTACCTCCAAATCTGGAGACGACACAACAATTGATTATTCTATTCTTAGAGAAGTCATGAAGAAAATCGACATTTTTAGAAAATAGAAGTCTTTATATCGACTTTTGTATCGAATGGGAAGGAGCAATGTCGACAAAGAATAAAGATGGGACCTCTCGTTCCAAAGTAACAGAAATAGAGATGAAAATAAAATTCACTCTTTAGAAACTTGAGTAAAAGATAAAAATGATGATTATTAAGAAAATAGGAAAGGTAGATACTAAAATATATATATATATATATATATATATATATATATATATATATATATATAAAGAAGATAGATTTGGACGCCAACTGGTTTTTATACCAAATACCAGTAAAAATGAAAAGAGAATAATGAATCAATTAAGTAACGACATAATTCTGATACAATCTATATCCTAGAAAATATATAGAAAAATAAGAGATACAATGGAGGATATAGAAGAATATGAATTATGACAGAAGATACGGAAATTGGAGAATAGAATTAACGAAATATATTAACATAAGAAAGAAAGCAGGCAATGTAGCAGTTATAACGCTACACTGTTTTTGTTCTTTTCGTGGAAAATTGTAGAAGTTAATTGTGAAGTATGTGTAGTTACAGAGGAGGTTAACCGAGGTTCGGTACGCCGAATGTTAAGAATAAGCTGGACCAGCAGAACTACGAATAAAGCAGTACTGAGAGTAATGAACACACGCCCTCATCTGGTCAATACTATCAAAATAATAAAGACGTAAAATATCTAGGACACATAATGCGCCTTAGGGAATTCAAGAAAAAAAAATATATATATATATATATATATATATATATATATATATATATATATATATATATATATATATATATATATATATATATATATGTATATATATATCACGCTATGATTCAGCCGGTGCTGACGTATGGGTCAGAAGTGTGGGTCTTTAACAATAATATGTCACAAAAACTCCTCTCAACGGAAATGATGTACTGGAGAAGATGTTCCGGGTTAACTTTGTTTGACCACATAAGAAATGAAAACATAAGAGAGAGAATGAAAGTAAAGAACACAATAATGGATACGATAGCCGAAAAACAATTAAAATGGTATGGACACCTGAGACGGATGAACGAAGAAAGGATACCACGAAAGGTTTGGAACTAGAGACCTACACAGAGAAATAAAAGGGGAAGGCCAAGAAAGAAATGGATATCCAATATTCACATAGAAATGGAAAATAGAGGTCTTCAAGAAGGAGACTGGGCCGATAAGAAATTATGGCGATTGGGATGCGAGAAGTGACAAAATTAAAGTTGCAAACACTCGCTATATATATATATATATATATATATATATATATATATATATATATCAAGCAGCTTAACGTAATATTAGAAGACAAAATTAAAGATAAAAGGGACATAGGACGAAAGAAAAAATATTGGCTACGAAACATCAGATATTGAACTCACACAAGAGGAATTGAATTAATTCATCAAGCCCAGGACAGAGAGAAATTTGTCAAATTGATCGCCAACCTCAACAGAGAAGGCACTTGGGAGGAGGAGAGACTAAAGTAATGGTTTTTAATATTGAGTTTGAGAATATAGGATTGGATATAGTTAACAATATAATACTATAGTCGGACAATTTTCAATTAAAGGTGACTAATCTACAAATTGAACTAAACGGTAGCGGCAACCATGTAAAATTTCATTAGTAAATTCTTACCAGGTCATTTTTATCGTGTATGCTACGCTCATGTAAATAACCGAGAAAGTAAGATAAATTTGCCTCTGCAACTATATAAATTGGTGCGATTCACGAGTACATAGTGAGACAAGTTCATTGAATAGTTAGAAACATCGGTAAACTTATCAATATTTTGCTGATCTATATCTATTTACGTTCATAGAAAGAATGTTAATGAGAGAAATATGATATCTTAGTTTATTCCTTTCAAATTATATACATATGCGCATAGGCGTAGTGTGTTGTTGGGAATATATTTATTAAAAAGACTTTTATTAGTATCTTTAAAATAGTTTTGAGGTAAGTAAATTTAAGGCCAGTTTATTCTTTATATAGTACTAAAATATTAACGGCCGCTCAGTATACAAAGAGTCATTTGACAATTAATTTATTAGATTGGATTAAAAACACATAAATTAGGACTAATTTACAACCAAAAAGATTTTTTTTCTCATTTTCAAGGAAACCAGTACAATTTTTAATAAGGAACATATTGTATCTTAAATATAAATTAAATTTTAAGGTGAAAATTTTCGAAACATTCGGGGTGTAGATGCATTCTACACTTTTACATAAATAAATAGTATTACTTTTGCACATCCTACATTTTTGCACTAT